ATATGCCAGTTCCATCACGGAGCGTGTGCTTAAGAATTGTTAAAAAAAAACACTTTGTCTGCGGAAAAAAAAACTTTGTTTATTTCATACCAAATCATGATGATATAACCTTTAAATTTAATGTACTTGTACGCATAAAATGTTAAAGATTATTTATAAAAACTCCAATTGATAAAACTTTAACTATTATTCGCTACTTATCCGATCTAATTTATCATGAAACTTGATATACACGTTAACAGTCCAACTCGCACATTAGTAATATCCTGTGTCGCGGGGGACTTTATAAACATTCATGAAACGGACACAAAGAACACCCAGACTCAGAATTACCCAGAACAACAATTTGTGAAGCACACGTTTTGTCCCATGTTGGAATCAAACCCACGACACTCAGCGCTGTTGAAAGTAGTGCGGTGATCGCTTCAACCACTGCGTCATGCATGCAGTCTATAGTAAAAGTTAACCCTGTATGCAGTTATCCAACAAAAATATTCTGCGAGAATGGGAACAAAATCGCTGGAATAAACTAATATATTTACGAAAACAGTTTATGAATATTGCATTGAAACTATCTGTTGGTATAATTTCCCCGGGGATGGTACCTGATAACTTGTAAATAGTTACTTCTCCATTGTTGTTTAAATCAGACAGACAACAGTTGCAAACTATCCCAAATTATCTTTTAACATTCATGTTTTGGCTTGAGGTAATTTCAATTAATTTCTACTAGATTACATTTCTAATCTAGATTAGATCGTCGTGTATTGGTGACACATGCATTGATGTTAATTTCTTTGGGATCAAAATTAGCCTAAATTTTATTAAATAATATAATCTAACTCTGTGCTAAATTTTATCCAGAGCCGTTCCGGCCTTGTTCTAGTGTAAATGAGTAACAAATTTCGTATTTATAAGATGTTATTTCAAAACTTAAACTGACTTTTTATGTTATTTCGTTAGTCATCTTTGTAAGTTCTCCAATTTCGTTCAAACTGTATGTGTCTACAGTATCTGTCTAGCTAAACTTGATAGGTTTACCTCATCACAAAACGTTCAATCAAATAATATTAATGAAAATTTAAACATTTCACACACGACACGGGCGGCAGTCTGATCCCAAACTACGCAGAGGCTCTGCTTAGTTTGGGATCGTCCTCAAAGAGTCTAACTTCTAAAACATAAAGAGTTAACTTATAAGTTAAAAAGAAAACGAGATCTTTTTTAAGCCACCTAACTTTGCTAAAACTAAAATACTCAATTCCAGTAACATATACATAAAACACATTCAAAACCTTCATTAATACTGACTGATACATATATACCAGACGAATTTTGTAAAAGCCTGTAAGTCTATAGGCAAAGGTTTACAACGAAAGCCTTTTGGTTTGTGTTTGTTATTTCACTTGCGACGTCAAACAAGGACCGAGGTCTTCTGCAAGCTTATTTTCATAATAGTCATTCTGTTTATTAAATATTGATAACATGTAATATATTAATACGGTCACATTCGTTTGTATTTGCAACAAATGTGCAAACAAATATATCTTCTTCTTCTTATTGCTTTGTTTCTAGATGTATTAGGTAGTAGGCGATAGGATGGCAACATATTATAACAATTGCGCCGATAGGCGCGGGAAGCCAGCAGCTTCACCAGGATAGGGTTTTACTGGGCGCGGCGTCGACCTGGGGGGGACCTGAAATAACATGACACCCGTTCCTCCATAGGCATATCTGTGAGCGTAATATGTACTTGCGTGCTGTTATTGTTGCCGTTACTGTGCGTGATTAAATTATTAACTATTTTGTATAATTGTACAACTCTCTTCACATTGCTAACGGATACTAGGACTTCAGAACTATGGGACAGATAATGTAGCAGATGTCTTTGCTCGATTACGCCAACAAACATTTGTCAGATGTAATATCAATCAAGAACTATTTCCTCTGACAACATCAACGAAAATCTAATCTAACTAATCATAATATAACAAACATACAGTTACAAGAGTTCCTGACTTATTACGAAGAACAAACAGCGCACAGTATTAGCTTAGGATTTCATTACGCATTCATATGTGAAACTTTGTCAAGCGAGCTGAACTCAACACATATGAAATGGAGGTAAACCGTCTTGTAGTATGCGTGTGTTGTTCAAAACAAAATATGTATTACAATGTCCCTCAATCAAAGGAATTCTAAGTTATCTCTGTGGCTAAGTAGTACAATGATACGATACAATGGATACTGGATAAAAAGAAATATAAAGATGACACGGATAAGGACACGACACAAGAGACACGACATAAAAAAGAGGAGGTTCCCAATTCAAGATTGTAGTTTTTTGTGTTTAATACTTCAGAACTCCGTCATTAAAAACAGATTTGGAAAATTCTATTTTATCTGTATTTTATATAAGGAATGAAGAATATAGTTTAGAACATATCATCATCATGTAGGATTGTAGACTCATTAAAGTTGGGGATACTTTTAAACACTTTTTTTTGTTAATTTTCATACACTCAGTGTGTGACATCCGTGCAGGCTTTTGCAAAAAAAATACTTCAAATATTTTCTTATTTACCCTGGTTTTGAGCCTACCCTAAAACCAATCCCGGGTATAATATTCGCTTTGACCCTGAATAATTTGTTTCGTTGGTATCTGTTACAAAAGAGGTCAATTTTTAGGGTCATTCCACTCATCAATGATTTTCGCTGTCTACAAAATATCGTGAAGTAGATACAGTCGTGAGTACACAGTATTGTTAATTACTGACTGAAAGAGTATGAACTAATATTTACAATATCGCCGCCTTAAATACTTTTATTTATCAGGTACCTATATTGAAAATAGTGGAAATTAATATTTTGTTTTAAATATTATTAAAGGCCATAAAACAGTTTATTTAACATTATTATTATTATTTAACATTTTGGTAGCTGATACTTTTTATGTTTTAAGTACCCACTAAGCAAGGAAATTTCGGCCCTACAGGGGTAAAATAAGTAATAATAATAACTTCACACATCAAACACATCGCAGTCCCCGACGAACACTATGGTAATCGCTATTACGATAGAATCGGGTTTATTAGATATTCCTTATCTACACACCCCATTACAATCATTGAATTTTTTTTATGATCGGGCGATGAATACTTTTGGATTTATCCATTCAATAATGATCTTTATATTTTTGTTCAACGTATAACATAAGTGAAAAATTTACACGATCAATAACGCAAAAACCTATTACCAAATCTCAAAAGTCAACATTGTAGAGTAAGCGGCTATTACCATATTGTTCGAGGGAAAAATGACAGAATCAGAATCAGAATTTATACATAGGTACCGAAATGGTTATAACACCTAAAATGATCATCGAATAAGCATGTAATTTATGTTTACCGTAATATTAAAGTCAGTTATATCATCGAAAACGATTGCAATGTCATTTTACGAATATAAAGTATATTCATATTTACCATGGAACAATATCATAATGAACGATTACTACAGCAACACCGATTTGTGATTACAGTCGAACACTATCGTAAAGTTAGTTTGCGTTAATTTTTTCCATAGCTTATTTCAGTAATGGACATTTTCACAATTTTCTTACTGATAAAGAAAATTTATGATAAAAATTTAGTAAAAATCTAGTGCAAAAAAATATTTCCTTATTTTTGATAAAAGAATCTTCTTTTTAGTCTTGATAGTATTCAAGATATTCAGTTTTTATTTGCTCCTGTAAAATTGTTATTTTCCTATTACGATTTTGTTCGTCGGGGACTGCGACATGGCCGTCTGATTCCAAACTAGGCAGAGCCTGTGCTACGGTAACCAGACTGCTGATAAACATACGTATATTTGTTTAAATACATACATATTATAGATAAATTACACCCAGACACAACAAATCATCGTGCACATCACATAATTATTTGCCCTGGGTGGGAATCGAACCCTTCGGCATAGCAGTTATAAACAGGTGCGTGAAAGTTCGTCATTTTCAAAGTTAGAAACACAAATTAGGAAATAGTCAAGCGAGCGGAGGCCCCGGGCAATAGCTAGTTTAATAAAATGTAGTTAATACCTACACCTCATTGCGATTGTTACGGTAGAAATGGCATGGTAGAAATGTCCTACTAGAAATGGCGGGATACGAACAAGGCGAAACGTAAAAAGTACGCTCCTTTAAGTGCTGATTATGATGAATCAATTTCATAATCACTGTTATTTACGCAATTCGATAGTTTATAGCAGTTGAGGTTTGTTTGTTAATGACAACAACTAATGTTATTTTCGTTATTCTTAATTTTGAAATATATTTTTAGTAATTTAATTGTATATTTTTAGTACTTTATCACTTTAAAATTTGATTTAAAGTTAACTTCATAGAGATCTTTTTTTTAAGCCACAGGCCCTACGGCCTAGTTCGTTAAACCCAAAAGAAAAAGTTGTGTGATGATGTCGATAATTTATTTTGTATTTGGTGTAATTTGTCTAAATTTATAAATATATCTAAATTCAGCATCATTATCAACAGCCTATACTAGTCCACTGCTGAACATAGGCCTCTCCTTAGAAAGGTGGTTTTGGCCTACTATACTACGCTGGCCAGACGCGTTACGGTATAGGGTTTGTTTCAAGTTTTCCTACTCTTTGCAGTGCTGTTGTCTTGCGTAGTTTACTCCCTTAGTCGGCTCTTACGACACCCACGGAACTACACTCTAAATTAATATGTCCAAATTTAATACATAGTCTGGTTACCATAGGACAGGCTAAGCCTAGTTATATTTATTTATTTATATTATTGCGATTAAACTCTGATTGTATCAGAACTCGGTAGTTTATAAAATCGTTCTTTTACTACAATACTTTTTACCGAAACCAAGTTAATATCATAGAAAATAGAAAAGTGCTCTACAAATGTGGCATAATGAAGCATAAATTCGTAATTAACAGATTACCTACAATAATTTCATGAATAATTGCAGTGGGCCCAGTCTCCGGTGAGCGTGGCTGGTGGTGGCGCTACAGAGTCTCCACCCGAGGGATTTAGGCGAGCTGCAAGAGGTTCCTTCTCCGCCATCTTGGATTTGATAACAGCTACTACAAACTTGGATATCCATCAGGTACGTGGACTTAATATTAATTATTCTTCTACCTACTATATCTTCTACGTTTTTAAAGTAGTACAGAAGTAGTACAGAAGACAATTCAAATTAGAAAAAACCGCTTATGGTATTCAAGTTATTAATAAAAAATTTGTAAGCCCCCTTTCTCAATTTTAATTCCCTAAAACACTTGTAACACTTTTATGATCAATATAAGAAATAATTGACCAATAGGTACCGTTGTGTTACATGGATAAAACAGCAACAGCACTAAGCATGGCAAAGGACTATTTTTGTTTCACTCAGAGATTTTTAAATTTATAAATACATATACTAGCGACACGCCTTTGTACGAGTGCAATTATTATACATATTATTATAAACCGTCCTCTTGAATCATTCGCTCTATTAATAAAAACAGCAATTAAATCATTTGCATAGTTTGAAAAATCTAAGCGTACAAGAACGAGAAACAACTTCATTTTGTACAATATAAAGACAGTGAGATAGCTTATGAGAATAAAGATTTCTGAAACCAAAAAATATTTGTCTGTTGTGTGTTACCGTCTAACTGTTTGTACAAATTAAAAAATGGTTTATAAAGAATTTTTACATATTTTATCGCACCTTTAATAATAAACTGAATTAATTCAAAATTTACGTTTTTCGAGTTTTCAACAAATACCAAATCAACTTCATCAGTAGAACACGACCAATCCAACAGCCGACTCGATACCATGAAAATGGCAGAGATAAGAGATCGTCGTTCTCTTTTTGACGAACTCGCACGTACATGAATGTCAAACTTTAAATGCGATTTCCCACAATATTGAAATTCTAAGTTAATTCAGTTTATGAATAAAGGTGCGTTATTATATTTGAAAATATATACTACTAAATCAAGTTTACTGATTTTGATCCTGCCCTTACAAATTCTTTTTGTAACTAAAGTATTAGTCAATCAAGTTTTTTTTACCATAGAATACTCCTCAAAATTGTAAAATTTATAATCTATTTGATTTCTTTTCTGATAAATTGATTAATTATACAACAAACTTTTAATAATTTTGATGGCAGCTCTTATGTCCTAGCAATCAAGTACAGAGTTTAATAAATTCATCAAATTATTGTTCATATCTCTGTTTTCTTCTGTTCATCTCAGAACAAAACTCTTCACTTTCACTGACTTCACAAACGGGATCTAAAGAACTAAAGAACCTATCTAAAGAATCTCAAAGTACAATAAACTAGAATGGCAAAAGTTTTAAACCTGTTCCAGAGTAAACCGGAGAGAACGTTGCGTTCATATATTTGTCTCTTGCTCTTTTATGTGTGCCTAGTACAAATAGATTTACCACGGTAAATCTACATAATTAGACATCGGATTATACACAATAAAAATGACAAAATATGCACTAAAAAGAGGCGAAATATAAAAAGCATTTATAACTCGTATTACCATTTAAGTTTATTTTTACATTATATTTATTTTATTTAACATAATAATATATACGCCGACCACTGCGATCGCATTCAGAGATTCAGTAGACATGGAAATTATTGCTACTTTTAAATCATATTTATTTGTTGAAATGATTGGTTTTAGGCACAGCGATTTCTCATGTGATTATGATTTCATCATAGACAAAGATAAATAAAAAAAAAAACAATCAAATCTTTTTATCAAAGAGTACGATTATTTTTTTAAGATTTAGACCTTTCGCGAGTCTTGCGCTAGCGTAAGTAGCAGTGGTTTTTTTTAAATCACTCACAGGTGAATATGATTCATAAAACATATGATTATTCACATGTGATTGTGATTTTATTCCATCCTTTGTATTTAGTGCGCTCGTTGAGGGTGTGCGAGGCGGACATGTCGACGGCATAATACAACTCGTATAACTACTGAAATAAGCACTGTCAATGAAAAAGCACCAAAATATGCAAAAACGCTATAAAAATAGATTTATATGCATTTGCATATGCAAACGTGCAATTGCATATAATCCGATGTCTATATATGATATTCGGCGCATGGAAGCATTTGGAATACTTAATGTTTATAGGCCGATTGAGCAGTGCCCGCGGGCCAAATATTTTTAAATAAAATTTTATTTGCAAAGAATTTTTGCTTTGTTCGACAATTATCTCACTTATCTATCGTACAAGTATAGTTAAGCACCGACTAAATGATTAATGAACTAGGCATAAGTGCAGCAAGGGGTCTAAGGGTTTATATTGAAGGGTGAAATTGTAAAAAATTTAGGTGATGGTCGGTCATTTTCTCACCGCTGCCAATGCACAGTTTGGAATTATTGAGTGAGAAAGTCGGTGTTGAACTGCTGTCGCTAGGTGCCGGTCTATTATTAAGTAGAAGAAGTGTAAAAGCTACAATAAAATGTGCTCTATAGATAAAAATTCACCTGTATATATTTTAAGCGTAATTGTGAGTAAAGACTAAACTGCGAGAAAAAAAACGGCCACAGAAAGATTCAACTCATAATATAACATGTGCCAATAAACCTTTGAGTGGCACTCTAAACTAGTTTAATAGTGATCGATATAAAATGTGTAGGCATTAATAAATGCCAGGACTATCATGACGAATGTATGCTCATTTGCCAGCTTAACCAAATGAAATAATCTGCTTGCATAACAATTTTATTGGGTATTTAATTTAACGTATGGTGACGGGTTAAGAATACGGAGTGTCACCATTCCTATTCATCCTGTGGGTCTCGTAAGAGGCGACTAAGGGACCAAACTACGCATGACAACAGAAAAGGAAAACTTGAAACAAACCCTATACCAACCCGTCTAGTCAGCGTGGTACAGTAGACCAAAATCTCTTTTCTAAGGAGAGGCCTATGTCTAGCAGTGGACTACGAAAAGCTGTTGATGATGATGAGGAATTTTTCATATGCTTTCTATAAAATCAATTTATAATAACAGTTTAGTTTACTAAAGAGAGTCGACAACTCTGTGTATCCAAAACAAAATTAACAGATCGAATCAACATTTCTGCAGAATATTTCCACGTCAAAGGGTGTTAATCGGGCTAATGAAAATACCTTCGTTGGATAAATGAATGTTCATATGCTGTGTTCCGTTCATTGAAAAGGATTAACATCAGTGTAAACCGATTTACTATTGAAATAGAATTGTGCGAAATCCGTTCATGAGTTTATAGGAAAACTAATTAAGTTAGTATCGGTTGTGTCGAGATTACCACGAGAATTTACTCAGTATAAACTTTAACAGTACTTTAATAGCTATGTAGCAACAACGAACCAACTATATACCTACCTAGCCTACACTAGTGATGTGCTGAATCTTTAAACATGCATATCCGCGGATTGCTCCAAGCCTTTTTTTTTCAAACTAGGTTGGGGTCGGCTTAGCTCCGATACCTCCATTGGACCTCCACAACAAGACGAAATCAAAATTTAGAGAGCTCCAACTACACGTAACAATTGTCACAGATGTTCATTTGGCAACCGGGAACGACGGCTTAACGTGCGCTCCGAGGCACGGAGGGGTCTCAATCTGTTAAGAATGGCCACCTAGCCATGTCAGTCTATGAATGCATAGACTGACATGGCTAGCTTTGACATGGCTAGGATTGCCCATGGTTGTAACCACTGACGATATGGCCGCGGCAACGATAAAATTGACACTGGCAAAACCGAAAACATTTCATAGGTTTGATTTTAAAACCTGAAAACATTTATCAGTCACTTTTGTTAAAGATCGCAGTAAGGAACTTTTTTCTTTTTAATTATACTTATTACTAGTTACATATTCTTTCTTTATTTTTGTCATCTCTAAAAGTGGTAGGTATATCATTTTCTACCATTCAATCGGAATTCTATCCACTTGTAAGTTGTTTAAAAATCAAAGATTAAGAAAATAGGACAATAAAAAGCCATTATTAAGTAAAATTAGATCTCTAGATTTGACCAACTTACTTAATTGTTCCAAAATAAAACTAAAACTACATCTAAATACATTGGATTACGAGTACAATTTTTTGTCAGCTTATTATGTAATTGTCAAATTCCACTCCATTCAAACTTTACCAACAATATCTTGTTGATCTAAGAGCAGAAATGCTTTTATATTCACGATTAACAAAATTCATTTGTTCCTCGAATTTCTTAGAAACAAAACAATCACTCGGAAAGTACTCTAGGAGGATGAAATTCTACGGAACAAGCCAATCGCGCAGATTGCTTTCTGTTTTAATAACGAAAATACGAAACGGGCTTTTATCTTTACAAACGAACATGGATTATGTAAACCCTTGGTTCACACTGACGCCTTGACGCCGTTGACGCGAATGTCCACATACAGTTTACGTATATAGGATTTTTTGTACAATACTGCTTTTAGGACTACTTTTTTTGTGTTAGAAGGAAGAAAAAAACATGTTAGAAGGTCCTGCACGTAAGCAGTGCATTTTTTGTGAAAATTAACTTGACAAATCTCACACGCGGCTATCTGGTCCTTGTAATGTATTTATTGAACCCTTTAATCTTCCCTTCTCCCCATCTTCTCGCTTTGGGATCCTAGGTTCCTACCGACTGCGCCATTGTAACGCATTTAGGGAACTCTTTAATGAAACCTTGACCTCGTTTATTGCAGACTGACAATTAAATAAGGTAAGTACACAATATTTTACTACTATATATAACTACCTACACACCAGTCCTAAAATAAGCAGAGCCTTAACTATGTTTACCAAACTACTGATGAACATGCCTATATATTTCTCAATACGTAGACCTTATAGTTAAATTACACAGAACATAATATCGATCGTATTCGTCATATATTTTTTTGTCCAACCCAAGGACTTTTTTTACGTGTAGAAACCACCTCGGGCCGTCATCCCACCGGGGTTTGCGGCAGGGTGGTATGTCGGAATCGGACCGACTAAAACCACACGGGCACGGTCCAAGCCGGGCAAATTGCCAGCGTGTGCTGAGCCGAGTCCTCACTGCAATCGCAGTGGTGACAGACGGAAATTCCGTCCTAGCGACCGAATGCAGGTACTTTCCGAAGCAGCCGTGCCCGGAAAGGACCTGCGTGAGTCGGAAGGAAAGGGCTATGCTGCCGCCCTGTCCACTCGACGATAACCGCTGGAGCGCCTCCATGGTGGCAAAGCCAGCACGTGGAACCTCCAGCCGAGACGACCAACGAGACATCGTGTCTTGGCGAGCAGTCTCACGCCACTCGCGTACCTCTTCGGGTGGGTGCCGACTGCCACTACCCGCCCGGAAAACCCAAGGACTCTGGCTCAGCAGTCAGGATACATTGCGGTTATCATTATAAATAATTATATATAATTAATAATAAATTTGTAGGTATGTACATATGACCACAGTAAATTCTACTTGTAAATTGGAATCTTACTTATAAAGTTAGTACACTTAGTTCTAGTATTATTCTGTAGACATATCTTTGTAAAGAAACTACGTAACATCAAGTTGGGACAGAAATGTTTTCAGAAATAATGCATCAACACATGAAAGAGACGAGAAAACTAGGTCAACGTCACACATTTTGTACAAATAGAGGTCTTTGTACCAATGAAGAATTCTCTTTATACGCAAAATCAGATTTAAAAGCTTTCGCTGATACGAATTGAGAAGTTATTTTCGTTACAGGTGCCGATCTTAACACCTACCTTCGATTAGGTTACCTAAATCGCCAATATCCGTTTCATCCCTCAATCTCTTATTGTTTAAAGAACGAATATAACGTCCTTTATTGAGAAAGCTAATAGGCTAATCAGAACACTACACACACTAACATAAGTGGAAGCACCAGGACCAGGTATTCCTGCAAAGAAGTATTATACATCAACAGCCTTTAACATTTCACTGCTAGACATAAGCCTCTCCTTAGAAAGGATGTTTTGGCCTACTATACAAGGCTGGCCAGACGGGTGCTGTGCTTCGGCGTAGTTTTTGCCCTTAGTCGGCTCTTAGGACACCCACAGGATGAATAGGGGTGGTGACACTCTGTATTCTTAATCCGTTACCACACGGACCTAACGGAAAGGAAACTAAAACGGAAGAAGTAGGTATTATATGATAATGGAAATTCCTAGAAAATTGATAAGTGGTCGATTTATCATCATCTTAGCATAACAACTTCGGGACATAAGTGAACACAAACACTCCAGCAAATTTTTTGATAATCCTGATCTGTTTTGTTGTCACACCTAAACACAGCGCGCTTTTTAATGTAAATACGATATAATAAATATGGAGTCGTCCATTGAAATATATTCGACCGTAGCCCCGGCGATTCATACGATTTATTTTCCTTTATTCAAATATTAACTCTGAATAAAATTGTGTATCGGAATAAACAACGTGTGGGTAGTACTTACGTTGAACTCGCCCCAACCTTTTGGTTCATTTGGTATTATTTTTTATTGTAACTTTACCATGTAAACATTTTATTTAACAGAGTAAGGAAAAGCAAAATTAAATTATCCTTTGGTGTTACGAACGTCTTAAGATTACGCTAATTGACGATTACACGAAAATGTTGAAAAGTCCTTGTGTAGATACTTGTCACACAACTAAATCGGTTTAAGGCTTCGATGATATCGAAATATCTGAGTGGCTGGTCGACAGCTTGGAGCTTCAATGTGCACCCAGTTCACTCTAATCTAGGCATATAGTAGAGATAGACACAGAAGTGGAACGCAGAGCCTCACTCCCGTTACCAACCAGCAGTCTCCCCCGATGAGGTAAAAACGTTTCCTAAGAGCCTTCACAGTCGTAAAGCACCGGTTATCAGAAACAGGGTCATTAAACTGTTTCCTAATAGAATTTTGGTCCTTTTGAAATTAACGCAGCGATCTCAACTAACATCTTACCCCAACAATGGTAAGAAGCCGTGGTTATTGAGATACTCAAACCCGGCAAACAAGTCCGAGCCGGCTAGTTATGGACTGATAACTCTGCTTAAAGGTTAAATACAGTAAGCATATGCCTATGTAAACCTCCTCATCCCTCATGAGCAATTTGGTTCCGAACGAAAGCCAGTGCAAGTTTGTCGAGGCCCACAACCATACATCACACATAAAAAAATAAAACTTGCCAGCATCCGTTCGTGGTTTCTGCCAATTTCCTGCCATGATATGAATTTCCTGTGTCAGTTGATTATATAGTGTAGCGGACATGCTCTTTACTAAAATTCTAACTTTTCTGGACACGAATAATCACTTTAACTATCACTTAGTTTCTAAATATGCCAGATTGTCTTGGGTACAGATTGTTTATTAGTAGATAATAACATAATTTAAGTTTTGTTATCTTTTGTTTGTTTAATGACCAGAGTAACTTGAATTGTCTTTGTATGAAATTGACACACAGAAATAAGAGTCCCAAACTAAGCAAAGCTTGTAATATGGGTACTAGACAACTGATATATGTAAACACATATTTACTTTTTTTGTAAATACATACATATTATACATAGAAACACCCAGACCATTGACAGTTTAATATTCTATAGACACATTAGAAAATATTTAACAATGTTTAAATATAATTTTCTCTTCAGTTTTCTAAAATGTTACAAATTAAAATATCTATAAAAGTTAAAAGAAGGACAGAAAATACATTCATTGAACGAGTTCCGTCTTGCTAAAACAATTTAACCTTTAAAATATCTTACAAATGACTACCCAGATCGACCGTATTTAATTAAGTCTAGCGTTGAGTTTTCTTCGCAAAAACGACTGCTTTTCCGTTTCAATTCCACTTAGCATACAATTACAACGTTTAGGAGAATATTTTCCTTTTATTAAAGCCCATGTAAATTTATTCAATTCGTAAGATATTAACAGCTGTTATATCAAACACAGCTTCCTAAATAGGTATCGGATTAAACGGTAAAGTTAGAAATCGTGATCTTAAACCTTGTTATTGGTTTAAATTATAGTTTCAAATTCAATTGTTAATCCGCATTAAATCGTCGTATTTGTAAGTATGATTGAAATAATAAAGGGTAGTCCGTGTGGTGACGGATTAAGAATACGGAATGTCACCACGGCGCACCAGAGAGCAAACTACGCAGGACAACAGCACTGCAAAAAGAAGGAAAACTTGAAACAAACCCTTTATCAAATCGTCTGGCCAACGTGGTATAGTAGGCCAAAGCCTCCTTTCTAAGGAGAGGCCTATAATCAGCAGAGGACTGTTATAGGCTGTTGATGATGATGATGAATAAAGGGTATGGACCTATTTATATTAACACACTTAAAACAAAGCTTCATCAAGTACGTATTTCTAATATAAAGGAGTTTATCTAAAATAAATAAAAATAAATATCTATTAGTCTTTCGAATCGAATGATCAGCATCTCCATATTTGCATCTTTCTTAGCTTACTCGTCATTGATATCATTTCAGAAACTTGTGTAATAGCAGAAGCGCCAGAAGCCGATCTTGTATTTTTGACTTGGAAAAACTATTCTTCCAAGAACTTACCAAATGCTTCGTCGTTTCTGTTAATCACACTAACTCAAGCTAACCACATCCTTGAACGTATTGACTGAAGTCAAGATTGTCTAATTTTATATAAAAGCGCTGTGAAAATATGCTGACCTCGAATAAACCTATTCTTTGCCATTCGAGTGTACAGGACGGCGCGGTGGTAGGCGGCGCTTTGCATCAATCCAAAAAGCAGTTTTTTTTTTAAGTGAACGAGTGAATACTTTAATCGTGTTTCTTCTTATCATTTTAATTGCCTACTTCCCTAAAACTTTAAACTTCGATATTAGAACAAACACAGGCCAGAGACTACACAGTTATGAGTATTACACGAGCTTTCTCATTTACATTAAACAATTTCGAAGGCAGCCATTACTCTGTAAAACTCAATAAAAGGGCACATCATTTAACATTACACAACCTGCTATACTTGAGAACGTAATTCAGTTTGGGAGCGACAAGAGTTTCAAGCCCGTCTAAGCTGTCACAGAGTATAAATACACCATAAAAAATTTGCGATGCTCAATCTTAAATAGACACTTAGTCTTAGGAAGACCTTGGGTAGTAAGTGGGGCCAATAATCAGGTAGGTACTACTCCAAGATATTGGCGGTGTAATTTGTTATCGTATTGTTGTTTTGGTTAACATTTGATTAAGCATAACACTTATACAAAAGATATTGCCTCAGTGGTGTAGTGGCAGCGTATGCGATTGCTGCGCTGAGGTCTCAGGTTCAATGCCGGCGTCGGATCAAATGTTTGTATGATCGGCAAATATTTGTTTTGGAGTTCCCCATGTAGAATAGAGCATAAGTTTATAAAACCATTCTAACAGTTTATGGCATGGATTTTGAAAGTGACAATTTCACATTTTCGCGCGCAAACAATTTGAATAGGTAGGTACCTAACTGTCTACGTCACTAGTTTCGGTTCATTAATATTTTACCTTAGTACTGTTAGGTACGATTTTATACATATTTTTATATGCGTAGGTTGCATCACTTTGATGATTGGTAATCGAATAATCATGTGATTATTATCAGTAGTAGTGATAATATCTCTTAATAATATTTGACAAAAACCATCTAATCAAGCTTGAAAAAATTTCGTGAGTGCTAGATTCGCAGGTACCTAATATCAGTTTAACAAATTCACAATCCTCCTAAGATACATACTCTTTATAAACAAATATACTGTTTAAAACAAAATACAGAAAATATCGTCATAGTGTATGATATGTCTAAACTCACAATAGGAATAGGAACAACATTGGCACTCATCACAAAATTTTCGTCTGCACACTTTCAGGCCCATTCACTATCCGGCTCGACTACGCCGCGCACTGACGATAAGTCCGGCGGACACTCGCCTGCAGCTAATGAAGGTATTGTATTCTGACAGCTTTTGTTAAACGGAAAAAAGTTTTATATTAAAATGTCACTGACTCACAGTAATAAAGGTGCAAAATTGTCGTGTTCTGGTATTAAGAAAACTAATTACCTACATAGAAGTTTTGTAAATTCAGCGAGTTGACGTAGGCAGTTTACCTTACGTACTCCAGCAGCTGTAGTAAAGAAAATGAATGGATATAGTACCTTTTTTATGGTGACCGGCTGAAAAATCCCTTCGGATCTCTGTCTCCTCGGGGACGCAGGAGCCAGAAACATGTGGTGTTTCCACTAATAACCATCCCGATGGCCGGTCTCAGGAGGATCTGGACCTTGTTTTTCAGATTCCCCGGGACGACGCCAGGCCTATCCTAGCCCTATCCCGGGGATACAGTACTTAATTATTATCTAATAAGCTACCTATTCTATAATGCCAGTGACATTGAACTATTTCTTAGGGGTTGAACACGATAGCACACGGTGATGGTCAGCGAGCACACTCCTCGATCGGCTGGCACAGAGAGGCTTCGCAGCGGATACAAGACTTGCTTTACCACCCACGGGTATGTATCCTTATCAATTTTAATAGTAGGGGTCATGAACCCAACGTTGTGCTTAGTAACCTACCTAATCAACTCGGAAACCGAGTCCTGACTAAACAAAACTGATTCCCGCAGTTAGTTATTATTCATCATCATCAACAGCCTTTAATAGTTCACTGCTGGACATAAGCCCCTCCTTAGAAATGAGGTTTTGGCCTACTATACCACGTTGGCCAGACGGGTTGGTAAAGAGTTTGTGTCAAGTTTTACTTCTCTTTGCAGTTCTCTTGTCCTGCATAGTTTGCTCCATTTGTCGGCTCCCTTACGACACCCACGGGATGAATAGAGATGGTGACATTCCGTATTTTTAATCCGTCACCACACGGACAAGTTAGTTATTATTAAGGTTATTTAGATTCTTACTTCGATATGATAAAACGGGAACTTGCGCTTGTGACTCTCGATTTGCAAGCGTTCATGGGCGGCGGTAGTCGCTTTCCATCAGGTGACCCGTCTACTCGTTTGCCCCCTCTTCCATAAAAAAAAACCACTGAATATTATAATATTTATCGCTTAAAATATATTTTATGATGATACATATGAGTAGTGGTGATCAGTCCTGAAAGTAACAAAATCATATCTAACCTACGAAGTTTTCTCGTAGTAAAAATTAAAAATAAATTTCTGGCGTTTTCTGACATTTATAAGAACGGACGATGTTAAATTTAAATTAAAAATAGTAAAAAAACTCAATTCTATCTTGCGTTAATCAAGCGCGGAAAATATTAGGGTCCCCGTTCATTCTTTTAAAAATATAAAAAACAAGTCTCAGGTTCTCAACTATTTTTACAGCCTATTAAATTATTTTTCATTTTATAAGTGAGCGGTTTTAACTTTTTCCTCACTGTAACTACATTATTACCGTGCTTCGCATATAGCGTGTATTTTTAACCGATTTCAAAAAAGGAGGCGGTTCTTATTTCGTATTTAGTTCGACTTTTAAATGTTTTGCACATAATGCGTCAACATATTTTTGGCGTGGTTTGGTGCCGCCTACATGGTCTTTCGCTGTAGGTTTTTACTATTTTTCACTGATTCTCCTTATGGGCCACTTGATTCCGATGCACACGGCAGGCAGTGCATACCAATACATAGGTAGTAGGGATGAAGCAAAATCACAATCACATTCATATCATTTAAAATCACGTCATCTTTCCTGTGACTGATTTACAAAACCACTGCTACTTAATTATTATTATCACGATAGCGAAAATCTAAAAAAATCGATAGTCAAAATCTAAAAAAAAAGTCGATCTTAACGATTAAGTCGATTTATCTTTGATAAAAAGAATTTTGATTGATTTTAACGCCATTTATCTTTGTCCATGACGAAATCACAATCACATGTGAAATCGCTATAACTAACACTAATCACTTCATCAAATGAATACGATTTAGAAGTATTAATAAGTTCCATGTCTACAGTCGTCACAAAATAAGAAGCCCGTTTTGACATTTGTCATGGTGGCGTAATCACTAGTTAGTGATTAACCATACGACTCGGTGCACGATACTTACCATAAATCGATTCAAGCTTGTAGAGTATTTGATTGGTTTGACTATATATCATAAAGTGCATTGGATTTAAGTTATAATTAGAACATATAACTTAAACTTTAATGTTATAGGCAATTTGAAATGATACAATGGAAAGAAATGTCAATTTGTCGTCAATTTCAAAGTTAAAAATTTAGCTCATTCACAACAAAATCAAGAAAGTGAAATCAATCATTTTCTTCTGATGACGAGCCAGATGAGCTATCGTCGCCTGTATATATAATTATTTCATTTTCTATAATATTATCAATATTGACGTCTCTATCATAATCTTCCTTTATTATTTTTCGCGTCTTTTCTACCACTTTTGCCCAATCTTCTTTAGTTATTTTATCACAAGCTTCTTTTAACAATGTCATCATATTCTTAGTGGAGAATGGTGGCTTTGTATTATGACGTGCTGCGTATCCTTTGACCTGAACCCAGATTAATTCAATAGCATTGTACTGACAATGGTACGGCGGCGTTGAAGAGCCAATTCATCGATTTTATATCTTAATTTTGCAGGTTTATTTTGTTTTACTAATTCCAGCAGTTCAGCTTTCAATAAATTCATGTCAGCTTCTACGCCTTTTTTTGTCACCACGCCACTAAATCTGCCTTTTTGCTTGCTTGAGTAGGTGCCTTATCTATTTGAACTGAATGGTAAGGTGCATTATCCATAATTATTGTGCACTGTTCGGGAGGGTTTATTAACAACTTAGTAAACCACTCTAAGAATTTATTTGCATCCATTTCTTCGTGGTATTCTTTTGTACTTCTGGACTCGAATGCGAGTAGAGCATCATGCACACAACCTCCCCCGGCTGATCCGGGTATATATTTCAATCGTAAGTAGGTCAGGAAGTTTCAAGTTCGGCAAATACACTACTGGCACTAGTACACTCAACAGTAGAGCATAGACAGCTGATATATCGACCTCCGGTCGGTAAAATAAAAACATACCTACTTCAGTTGCCTCTTATAATTGCATGGAAGGAAACCCACCTTATGAATAAGCATATGATATCGTGAGAACACAAGCACATTTGAAGGTTGTGGGCCAAAAGGCAATCATTATTTTAGAGAAAATGACTGCTTCGAACAGTCATCGGCGTAAGAAATTACGTATCAATGTTAGCTGCAGACATTCCCCTACTATACGAGTCTATAAATGAAATGTTGTAGTAAAGTACAACAAGCCACCTTTATCAAAGGCCAATTCTCGTAATAAAAGTTCGATCTCATTCAGTTTCAATCAACTTTAGATCTCGCAACTGTCATAAAAGCTATTTTTGTAGTAAAATAGTAAAGTATTACTAAAACTAGCAGATTATCGATTAAATTTTCGGTTATAATACGAGATAATCACATTAGTCACCGTTGGATGTTTAATACTTTACTACAAAAATACCTTTTATGACAGTTGTGAGATCGAAAGTCGTTCGAAACTGAAATGAGACCGAACTTTTATCACCAGAATTGGCGTTCAGGTTTAACTTTGTGAGGTTTTTATACGAGCTTGTTTCTGGTTGACGTAATACCTAAGTTCACAACTAATAAGGACAAATTCGTTGCAGGCTGCGCCCGTTACCGCGAGCTGTGCTACCGCGCAGCACAGGCGCACGCACCCGAGGATGCCGCGCCGCGCCCCTGCGACTGCGCCAACTGCGCCGCACGCCGCGTCTCTGCGCCTGCGCACGCCGCTGCCCCGCCCTGAGACGCGCCCGCCGTGCGACTTACCACCGCATTAGCCACGCCGGTATTGGCCACACCGGATTTTTCATGAACGACTGTCCTCGAGAAAAGAGACTAACATGATATCGTAAACACCTTAATAAATGTCGTCGATATTGTACACTTACTAAGAAAATATACTTACTTTCTTGCTTTAAAAATGCTAAAAATTTAAACCTTACGCACACTTACCTTACCTCACACTAGATTATAAACCACTGCAGCATAATTGTTGTTAATGTATTTTACGTGTTCCCTCTTATCCCCACTAACAAAAGAATTTTAAGCAACCATTTTTTTACAAGAGACCACTTCTAAAATCATAGTCACATGAAGGTAGATTAGTTAGCCAAAAACAATTAAGTATTTAGAACTGTTTTGAATTAAACTACGTTTTCTTCAAGATTTTGTTCAATTTTTTTGTAGTTCAATTTACGCAGGTTTATCTTCAAATAGACTTCAAAAACCTGAACTTAAGTATTTTTTTAAGAAAGCTTGGACAATCATAGGTTAGCCTTTTTAAAATTGGTATTGCTACCAGTATCTAGAAAATGTCCAAATTCAGGAATTGAGGTGAATGCAATTCGTGGCCTTTCGTTACAAAGGATCAATCTAGTCAATTTCGGTAAAAAAATACTCTCATCTCATCAATTAAAAAGTAGGGTTGGCTTTCTTAGTGCCTTACCCGCTCCGCTTATACACATTCGACATTAGGCACCACCAAATACCATTTCAATTGTATGTAAATGTAAGAATATATTTCGCAAATTTAATAAAAAAAAGTCCACATTCAAATTCGCTTTTGTATTTAAGAAAGAACGCATTACAAGCGTTTATTGTAATTCAATGTTTGCTAAATTATATCCTTATTAAAATTTAAGTATTAAATTGACTGTCCATTGATGTTAAGACTAAATTATCCTAAAATGTAAGCTTCGAATAAAAAAAATGTGGAAATTAAATTTACACAATTTATTTAGACGCTTCTCTACATAAGAATTTTCTGTAACACTAATTTATTATAAAGAACACGTTATATATAAAAAAATAGCCAAAATTATAACTTAGGTGTAAAAGCGTAGGTGGCTATCATCTTCCTGGTCCAGATTATATCTATAAATATAATTCATGTGTGCTAAAGTATCATTGACCTCTTAATTTTAGAGCCTAATATTATATACTAGATATATCTAGACGTAATTTCTATATTAAAATTGTCTGACCTAATGTATACCTGCCCATCGGTGTAACTTTTAAACGATTCATAATTATTATAATAATGTACATTAAATTCTATTTTATATTACATCTTTAAAAATTATAAACATTAATTTTAATTACATACATTTTAAACTTCTGATCTATTTTCGATTGTACTTACCCAATGTCATTAAATTTTAATCGTATATTATTTAAATATTAACAAGGCCTACCTACTTGCGATATAAAATGTAATTTAAAATGATTCAAAAATAAAAACAAGATTATTATAAAAAAACCGTGTCTATTAATTTGTATACCTGTATCAGTGTTACCTCGCGACTATAGACTATAGCTAACAGCAACTGTAGAGGAGGATACGCAGTCTTGTCGATCAATTTAAATAAAACTTAAAATAATTAGTATATTTATTAAAGAAAACAAAAATCATGTTTTAGGTGAGAACATTGTGAACTACCAAACATTTGAGAGATTGAATGTTTAACATTACCAAACTCAACGAACATGCTCTGAATTTATCTCGCGATTTATCTAACACCCCAAGTTCATTAGATGTGTACTTCAAGGAGTCTGCACAATTTAGTTATAAATGCTTTACTAATATTAATACCTATGTTACGAACATGATTTCTTCAAGTCACAAACAATTTCTTAACCATATCGTATGGTTGGATATCCTAAAGTCTAGAAGTAAATATTACAAAAAATAAGTCAAATTCTAACATAGTGAGAAGAAAATAGTTCATACGGGTATTGTAACGGTGGTATATAGTCAAAAAAATCAATTATGCCTGCAAATCGTTCTCTTATTGAGAAGTTACAGATACAACACTCGGTGAAGAGACAGTTTACGACGCAAAATTGATACAATAGTCACTAGTATAACTTGTTTGTAAATACATCACTAAACTTACGTCCTTAAGAGATTAAAAATTGATTCCCAAAAACTGAATGGAAAATGTTGAGCAGAATTATATATTACAAGTGTTATATCAATATCATCAACGGGACGAAGAGACACAATACTCGCATATTTTACTGTTTTTGCAGCTAAAAGTGATATGAACGTTGGAACTGACCTAAAAATAACATCTGGAAACTATAAGAAAAAATGTTCAAGCTCTTTGAATTACAATTGAAAATTTTTAGTTTCAAATAAAAGCTCCCTGGATTGATACTTCTAATCGACCAACGCTACACAAAAATATCCAAAAGAATAACTAATCTAACTTAATAATTCTGAAAGTGGTTTATAAGGTACGCCAGTCCCAACACTACATAATATATTCAACGTATCACATCTATGAAACTCGCAGCAGTTTGTCGATTACCCACTCAAATCACTGTCATACTATACGTAAACTTCATCAAAAAAAACCAAAGTCCATAAACAGAAAGACGTCTCTTATAAACCATTTTCTTTAAAAATAATTTACAAACTCAATGATTGCGTTCGTAGAAAAAAAATATAATATTTTACAAGTAAAATATACGACAATGTTTGTTAATAAACGGAGTACATGTTACAGAGATTATTAACCTAATTTGTATACATTAACTTATAAACTTTATATAAAGCTGCGAGTGACTTATTATTATTTATGTCCAAAATTTTAAAAGCAAAGTTAAAATTAAGTCAGTCCACCCTGTAGCGACATCTATTAGGGTGGAGGTTGACTACTGCGCTTACAAGATAAGTTGCTATGCGATCTTCTAAACCTAAATAGAGTATAAAATATATTAACTATATGGAACCGGAATGCAAATATAAACCCACGTATACTAACAAACATTGATACGTAGAGTAACGGAGTTACCAGGCAGGCAGAAGACACTAAGTCTGCCGCTCGGCTCATTCGTTAACGCCGATAGGGATGGTAAGACGAGGCCGATGCTGTGCCACCTGACGATGACCCATGGTAGCTGCGCTTCGATGACCGTTGGTAGCCGTCACCGGAACCCCCGGTGTATTCATAGTCATCACCTGCTAATACATACCTCTGTTAGCACCTACTTGTAACAACGGTAGTAATTATTTGAAGCAACATTTTTAAGCAATCTCAAGTTTTTCTAAACAATGTTTTAGATGCAACATTTCAAAAGTAAGTAATAAATAATAATGAAACTTACCGCACCACGCACCACTTCCACTCACCAGGTGTTTGTCTACCTATACTTCAGACTAAGTTTAGGACATATTGTGTTTTTTTATATGTATTCATTTTAATGCAATATCTAGGTAATCACAATATATCTTAAAACCTTACATTGCCTATCTACTTCGAAGGATGCCTCCAAGTATCAATCCTAATGTCTATAGAAATGCGACTATATACTGTTAATAGTGTGATATATAATGACAAAATCAATGTACTATTCACTCTTGGCTTGTCATCTCCAGCAATACGATAGACGAGGAAGGTAAATCCGAGCTCAGACTATAGCAACCTGTTTACTTGCTAGCGAAAATTAATACAACTTTGGGTACCTTTCTGTCTCTTTCTCTGGAAAACTCCTTACTTGTCTTTCGCCGAGGTTCCAGTGCAAGAGTGAATTACTACCCTAAATCATTTAATACTTCGTCCTAAAAAAAAACTAATACTGGTGCTAATTCTGTTGTTCGAAAACTCTCTAAACTAAACTAAAAATCACTAAAAATTTCTTTAGTCCTGTCCAATAACGTTACGTATTTTGAAAACGTAATACTTGACAGGACTAAAATAATTTTTAGTGATTTTTAGTTTAGTTTAGAGAGTTTTCGAACAACAGAATTAGTACCAATGTCTATGATATATAATGTATTATTGACGTGTGTTTGATAAGTACTTACGGATAGATGAATGAGGAAGGAAATGAATAAAGGAAAGTAAATAAGAACCTGAGACAGACGCGGATATATCCGACACATTACAGAACGACGGCTGTGGCGATACCATGCCTCCGCAATATATCATAGGCACCTGCCGAATTGTTTATGTTGTAGTAGCCAATTCTATTTACTGGTCTACTGTTTTGGTTTATAAGTTGACATTCGTCAGATATATTCAAAAGGAATATTATTAATTAGACTAGTATGAAAAGGCTCATTAAAAAGCGCAAAGTACAGCAAAGGTCCCTTTTCGTATGCGCGTAACGACTCTGTAGCGCATACGATGTAGGTAACTGGGTTCTTTGTGAGCAATCGTTAAATTATAAAAATTTAGTGATTATGTCTATATCTACTACCAAGATGGAATTTTAAATATGTATGTCTAACTTTCGCAGAACTTCTATTGTTATCCGTATTATAAAGATAAAGAAGAGACCTGTGGCGGTGTCCCTATAGCATCAGACATCTGTGGCACGTTCATATACTTGGGACTGCCAGCGTTACTCCCCACACCGTCGCCCTCTGCCGTAAATTTATATAACTAGTTAATATACTGAAAAATAGGACGTTGATTCACCAATGTAAGTGTTTGTGAAATTACCTTAGTATTCTGATTCATTTTTGAGATTTAAAACATGAGAAATCACAGACAAAAGGCAGTACTAAAAAACTATAGATAAAACCTTTTCATCAACGGACGATTTTGGTTTTATTCTACAAAAGGAAGTTTCATAAAATTCATGATTAAATTAATTTAGTTAAATGAGATTCGTGATAATAGGTCAAAACCTCCTTTCTAAGAAGAGACCTATATTCAACAATGGATTCAGAACACCTTATTCATGAGCTATTTAATTAATGAATAAAATTCAGGCCATTACAATCATGTACTATTTTTTTAAATATATTTGAACCTGATACTTACCTAAATTGTATTTCAAGCGTAGCCTGGACAAAAACAAGTTCCCTATTGCATTCAGTAGTTTTGTGCTTTTGAATGCTGATTAGGTGATTAGGACATTTAAAATATTTACTTATGCGACACAAACACTTAACGTCGTGAATCTACGTCAATGAAATCACTACCAGGGATGTGGATAGATAGGAAATATAGATTTTATACATTACCAGATGAAACGTGTGTCAAGGGTTTGTGTATATATAGGGTATCTGATAGAAGAATGATATGAGAATATAATTAATGAAAACGGCTCTTTCATGGTTCCATCACGAATCGTGCTAGACATCTGTAAGTGTAAGACTATTATGGACACTAATGTCAGTTTACTGTAATGTATCACTATAAAAACAAAAATTATGATAACTGATACTATTCAATGTGAGTAATTGACGAAAAGGGGGGGTCAGGGGTGTGTACGAACATCATAATAATTAAAAATGCCAGTGTTATTTTGAAATTTTTGATTTCTTTTAATTATCTACGTTTTATAATGTCCTTAAAGTAGATATATATTTCATCATAAGATATCTCAAATATTTGCAGTTGTAATATTAATATTTTATTAATCAACCAGTAGTAATTACTTAATCCATTAAGATAGAAGAAGCTTAATAATAGGAAACTACGACAAATGTGTAATTCTTTCCATTACATTATAAACTACATACTTATATGTTACCAGTTAAATCTAACACTAAATATATATACCCAAAATACCTAATATGAATAATGCATAATTTCTACTTCCAAAGACCTCAGTGTTATGTGTGATAGCACTTATTACATCAATTAAATCATCGCGTACAAGCTTCTCGTCTTACTTTAGTGCTTCGGTTAAAATTAATAATTAAAACCGTAATTAACTAATTATCATTAGGTAATCATCGTAAAAAAGAAATAAAAAGGACGCACGTTGTTAAGTCTATCATAATTTTCCTTTTTATACGAACATAAAGTAAACTTATCTGGAGCGCGGGCGCCGCTCGCGGTGGCCGCGGCGCCCGCGCTCCGCTAGACTTGTCCGTGTATCTCCACGTTAGGGCTAAGTATAGTACTTTACACATTACAACATTACAACAAATCTAGATAATAGTCTTACATTGTAACATGCTTAGTTTGTGGCTAGGTCGCGGTCGCCGCTTCCAATTAATTACATTTTAGGAAATTAATACAAGTGTGTATAAATATAGCCGCCCCGTACTGGGCCGGTGTTAATTAAAACTTATATAGGTACTGTTGTAAGTAAACATTACTTTAAATATTGTACATCAGTCGATAGCTCACCTAACAATTTTGTTTCTAATCGATCGAGAATTATGTACTTTTATTTACTATAAAGAAAAAGTTTAAAAAATAATCAACATCAAAATTTTAATTAAAACAGGAATAAATAACAACTTGCCCTAGGTTTTATAATAATTATTAATGTTATAATTAATTGTAAAGCCCGTGAAATTTATTTAACTCGGGATCAATAATTACATTTATATTAAATTCTAGTATAAATATGAGGATTATATTTAATAATACCTGCATTGTTTTTAAAATAAGTTTCGAAAAGACTACCAGTTAATAGGGAGGGTATGTGCCCTGACCAGTGATTATACATTTAAATGCAAAATGAATTAATTTTATAAGACGAGTAGTCAGTGAACTTAAACATGAATCGACTGCTAATCTAACGTTTAACACTAGGGGTCTTGTATAATTAGTCAATTACGATGATAAATATATTAATGAATACTAGCACGGCCCGCGAGCGCGCCCGCCCGCTTGCGTGCTGCGGAGCTATCGTTACTTTATCATTATACCAAAATACACTTTTACACAAAACATTGTTTCCTCTATATACTACTGAATAAACATACACATATAAAACCGCGTACACTATAAGATAAAGTAATACAAACAAGAGTCGAAAGGTTAACTACGCAACAGTACTACAGTTAAGCCATGATTAAAGTATTATTTCATAAACATTATTTTTAAGATACAGCTGCATATCCTATGTCGATATTACCGAGTGTAATATTAAAATGCAAAGATGCAAGTGTGCCACTCACGGATTGTATAATGCAGCTCGAGATAACGTGAAGGTGTTGGGTCCGTGAGTGGGTGAGTGGAGGAGTGGAGGAGTGAAAGAGTGGAGCCGGGACACGCCGCGGGCGCGGGCCGGTAGAGACGGGTGCGCAGGCACGCTCGAGTGAACACCACATTTGACAGACGAGCCTCTAACGAGTCTTATCGTATTTGTATTTTGCTAACTATTTTTAATTAATAAATTCATCCAATATTTAATGCTTCTTCTCCTATATAATAATAATTAAAACCCATATAAATAGTCTCAATTGATTTTCATAATAATTTGCACTAACTTTAATGTTGAGTAAATCTAAAATTTCTAATACATATTATACTTTATTAAATAAATTATATCCTTTTATGTTAATAAGAAAATTGCCACGTTGGATCATTACAAACTAAGTTCTTAAATTGTTCCATAGGTTTGTGAGTGCGGGGCCGTGCCCTAGGTCCTAACACCTTAGTGCTAATCATTATCACTGAACATAACATAATATAAATCATCTCTATATTCACTTAACTTTTTGTAAGGCATCTTTTCCTAATATTAAAACAGATGTGAACAATTTCGTTCGTATCATCGGTGGTTGTACATTAAACCTACAGTAATATAACGTAACTGAGAATGGAAGATCATGTAATTATTATATTATGCGAACTGATTGTCGAAGAGGGGGACAAGAGTAGGGTGACATGAGAGGAGTCGCGAACATATGCGTACAAACGACTATAAACGTATGAGTAGGGAGCCAGCGTGGGGGGTTAGTGCGAACAAATACAAACTGTATGAACAAGCGACACGAATGACACCGAAACGAACGACTACCTATGTTGAGTACAATAAAATTAACCAGGAATGAATCGAGACAAATTAACCTAACTAACATAGGAACGAAGAGTAAATAAAGCGGCACATCTACACGTAACCTAATGGGCAGCAGTCAGGCACCGACGTCGATAGTTAATATTATTTCTTTATATTGTTATAAGGTACGAGTTTAACTTTCCTACATACAGGTTGAGTCTCAGTCGAGTCTGTTACATATTATAAGAGCTATAAGAAATGTATGCGAGTTACCTATGAACATCACAATGTAAAGGCGTTTTCATTATGTTTTAACCGTTAATTTGGGACACCGCACCCCTCGTCCCGAACCGCTAGTCACTTATAAAATTTGCTTATACACCTCACAATATTCCTCAATAGATAAATTATACTTTACTTATGGAGCGATCTTAAATAACCCTATTCTAAACGATCAAATTATGCATTCAATGTAATCATCAACAATTCGTTCTATTTAAAACATTTATTAACAAATCTTATCGAGCGCTTCGCGGCGCGGTTCTATTATTTAAAATTAAAGGAACAACTCCCGTGTCGGGCGTCGGGCAGTCTATCAGTAGGTCCGTAAACTCTAAGATAATTACAACAAATAATGGTCAGACGCCGCGGGGTCCCGGCCCCGCTCGGTCGGCCGGCCCGCGGCCGCCGTTCGCCCCGCGATTAATTACTTAGCTTATCACTAAAATTTTAATCAGTCGATCGGTCAAACGATTGAGCGATATAGTACAGTAAAGGACTAATATTAAATTTAATCTAATATTGTTATTTTAAATTATAACTCACTTTGTAACGGGGCGGAGCGGCCGCGCAACGAACGCCCGCGTCGGGTACATATTATGATACGACTAACATACCGGCCGTAGCGGCCGTCGAAAGCTCTATACAGTTTTAAAAATATTTGGCAATCACATAAATTAAAACTTTAAAACTATGTGACGAGAGAATTGATTAAAATTATGCTTTACACACAAGTAAGTATATATATGTACAAATGTGCTGGTCGACGCGAGGGGTGCAAGGCGCGCCGCGGTACGTACCGAACTTCTATATCCTAAATGCTTGAGCTTCAATACTTAACACATACGACAATATCGTTTGCTCGTTAACAATTTGGCAGGTAAATTTAATCCATTAAAGTATAAATCCCATATAATAATAGTATCAACTTAAAATTGCGATAAAGAACTAAAATGCATATTAGAAAACAAATTAAAATTACGAATATTTATACAGAATTTTTCCCTTTTTAAACCGGGAATAATTAAAAATATTTAAAATCACGTTCAGTCACTATGTTTTGTTTAATATTAACACATAATTACCTCATTACATGCCTACCGTTTTCCTAAGTCTAGTGTGTCGTAATAACCAAAATTCTAACATTAAACATACATACCGATATATATACCAAATATTTATACAAGTTATTAGCTTAAGTTAAGTTCTTTTAGGTTATTTTCCCTAAATTGGCCTTGTTTAACAGTGTCTGTCAAATGTGCTTCACGCGAACGAGACGCGGTGAACGGGCGGCGGGCGGCGGGCGCCCGGCCTCTACCGGCCCGCTCTCAGCCGTCGGGCCGAAGGACCGGCCCGCCGGGAGTAATTACACGTACACGATATTATTAAAAGAAATCACTAGTACAATATACCAAGACAAATATTAAAACATTCGAAATGTGTCAAGTAAAAATTAATCGTTTACAAAAAAACCCACATCCAAATAGATTAAAAGCAAAGTTAATAAAAAAATGTGTACAATCGTTGTACACGCGAATTACAGCATCGTTTAGCTTTAGGAGAGGGGTCGCGATAACTTCTGGGCGAGTCGTGTGAGTACATTGCTAAGTCGATTGTGTCAAACGGACTGTTATAAAAACAATTGTCCACAACTAGCGTTCAGAGACGGTCGAGTGCCAAAAGTAGTGAAAGAAGTGTAGGAGTACCTAGTATAGTGTTAGTAGACAAAGTTTTAAATCTAATAGTTTCAATTTTCCAGTAAAACTATTTTTAGTTATTAAAAATAACGCTTACTTACGCGTGTGGGTTTGTGTTAATGTAGTCACCGGTGACATTAATTAATTACATTAAAAAACGCCTAACTAGGCTTTAGATCATTGCAAGAAATATTTAATTTTACATTAATTTAGTCTGTTACTATAAATATTAATAATTGTTGCATTGCTGTAATTATATTAAATCCAAAAACACACACTACACTAAATCTTATAGGAGATTTTAGTAGTTTGTTGGGGAGCGTATATTTTAACAAAACGTGTATATACTAAATATGCCTAACAAATTTTTAGTCGCCACGCATATCGACTAAGATAGAATCGATAGATGGAGTCGATCGAATGCAGTTGAGAATTCCAACCGTTCGAGCACGCACTTGCGTCGTTGATACCTCAAGCAAATTCTAGAACTACAATGTTTAATTAACACGTCTGTTCACACAAGCGTCATGATACTAATGCTACATACGAGTGCGTACTAGACGGTACTTTAACGTCTGCTGTGCGTGTATCGCAGCGTAACGAACTACAGAACTCACTCTACCTACCTTTAAATACCTTTAGAAAAGAATGTGTATATAAATATGAGCGATACGACTGTAGTTAACCACACTGCGGCTATGAGTGAGTGTGTGACTGTGTGTAAAGGGATCGTCCTGGGACGTCGAATGGTGTCGGGATGAGAATAATATCGTACACCATAAAAAAAGCGCTCAAGAGCCTGGAGTGTATGCGACCGCTGCGTACGTGTTTATGTGGTCGTTTTAAAAGGTCGGCAGATTTAAGTGAGAACGATTAGTGTCCGAGTTATCGTCGAGCCAGCAGCGAGACGGGCAGTCGGCGCCCCCGGACGATCCCGGCGTGGATGTGAATGGTGGTGGGGCGCTTGTGTCAGACGCGTTTGGCGTGGGCGCTCTACGCGGCGGGCCACTCCTTGTTAAACTCGTTGGCGTTGAAGTGTTTGGGCGCGTGATGCGGATGCGCGTGCACACCTGGCGGCTGCGCGGCGGGCGCCGAGGCGTGGTAGTCGGCCGCGCCCTGGTAGGCGCGCGACGCGCCCCCGCCGTACGACGAGCCCTGGCCGGTCCCACACGTTACACACCCCCGCCGCGCCCCACACCACGGTGTGGGCCGCGGCGTACACCGCGGACACGGGCCGGCCGCACCGAGCCGAGGCGAGCCGCGATTTTCTAACTGCTCTACTCGGTACAAAAATATACTTCTCTCGCGAGTCTAACTGGGCCGAGGCTTCGGCTGCGGTGCGTCCGACCGTCATGGAGCATAAACGACCCCACCGCTCTACTGGCTTTACTGTTGGTAACTAGCACTACTCGGGTCGCGGACTGCGTTCGTTGATGCTCCATAACTTTTAGTATAACAAATTTTTGTAAATAATGTACTCTGGTTACATTTAACAGAATAGACGAACTCTTTATCTCTGAACACTTAAAGTACAGCTCTTAATATTATTTTTAACGATAAAATTAACTATTAATGAACCTGTAACAATATGAGAAAATCCAAATTTTACTAATTTGTACTTTAAATGCCAATTTACAAGTGTTGAGATGAAACAAGGGATTTGAATCATCTCGCACGGCTACAAAATGCAATATTATATATATATGAATATCCAACGGAACTAAGGGTAAGCTTATATCTAGTGCGGTGCGATGCCTTTATGATGAGCGCGCTATCGTCGCAACAACCGACCGTCCATAGTGAGAAAATCCCCAGTGTTTCGCGACTTTCCCCCATCCGATACCCGCCCTTATCTCTAATTGTCTTTCTGCATGAGCCATTCTTGGGGGCCCTGATCGACCAACTGGAAAAGAAGAACAAGACAATAAAGTCCCACTCGCCCACAACTCAACTGGATCTTTAGCAGGTTTATGTAAGTAGCGCAGCGCGTGAAGATGGACCGGGCGAAAGCGTGTGACTATCCCCAAGGGCGAAATGATAGGTTAGGCGACAGTAGGGCGGGAGCGGGAAGGATGGAGAGGAAAGGAGCTGAATGGAGGTCGGTGATGAGAGACCTTCAGCGAAACTCGATAACAACACTAATCTTCTTGATTTTTCACTATGGATAGCGGTGCGAGCCAAGTCTAGCCAGTACTGCGCCGCGACTAACATTCTCTTAATGAACCGCAGCATAGCTCGGAAAATCAAAAAGACATCGCACATTAATCTCGCCACTGAAAACATGCAGAGAAGAGGACTTCGTCGTCGCGGCGTATATAACCGTGATATAAACAAGCATTGGAACACAGCACACAGATGCAAGGGTGGCAAACTAATGGCTCTATAGTATGTACTCATGCTGCTCTTTAAACGCGATTCCTTTGTTGGCGTGGAGCAATGTTTTCGCTGAATATCACTCGCTCACCATATGTCATCATTACCACTTCCATTCATACCAATCGCAAACAACTAACTCAAGTACAACCAAATTGATTGACGTAGAAGATTTACCGATTTCTATTCCTTTCATTCATTTTTATTCAGTCCTCTGTTTTGAAGATTATACTTTCATTCATGCCATCGAAACATACCGTAACACAAGTAGGATAGATGCAGGATATAAATCATAGAGTAAAGCTTGAGGAGATGGAGTTGAGGAAGAGGAATGCAAGCCCCAGGATGATGAGCAAAAAAATAAATAAAAACATCGTCAACTTGGCTGTACTCTTATGTAACTCAAACCAACACAAAAGTTGTATCTTTTGATAAAAAGGACTTAAAAAAGTTAATTCAAAATAGTTAGCATTCAAGACAGAGTAAAACAAAGAATTATTGTTTGCAACTTAAATACTGGATGATATAAAGGTAAACTGTAAAAATTGAAGTCAAAACTAGTATCAATATCATCCAATATTTGAGAATCTCACACAGGGCAGTTAGACAGCAAAGCATTTGCAGTAATGTCCAGAAACGAAATCTAAACTTCTTTGACATTCCAGGAAATTTTCTATCATTACTCATATTTAATATTCAAAAACAATAATTTACTATTTTAATTTGACATACTTGATAATCTATTTAATTATGTATGGCAAAAAGTAGTTTTTTTCTAGGTATTAAAACAGTATTACAATAATTTGGCTGTCGCCTTGCCGTCAAATTTATTCAAATCTTCGTTATGTAACTGGCTGATATAGCTCCTGAATAATATTGAGCTACTTTTAGCTATTGTTAATGTTAGGTTTGACGCACCTTCACAGTAATTCAGATTTAACATTTATAAACATGTGTTACTAAAGAGTTACTTGTTGATAATTTGAATCTAATAGAAACATATCTTATGTATGTATTTGTGTGTTAAATTCATTACGTACATAACTGAGTTCAGATAATCCCAGGTGTTGCTGGTCCCATCAAAAATTGTTTTCTTGAGATCAAACTTTCTATAACATGTTACTGTCACAAATCAAATCTATTTTGTCAACTATTTATAATAAATTTGAAATATCAATTTATTATTTTACTAATAAAATTATTATTTTACTGGTTAATAATTCAACGATTCGCATAAATTTAGCGACTCGAGAACCATTTTAACCCAATCACATTCCTATATAACAAACCTTGCTGTTTCTAAACGAAAGTAATGATTGAACTATGAAAAATATACTGTTCAAAGTTATGTTTCATAGATTCTCAACTGTTTCATAAAATAAAATAAACAGAATGGAATTGGATTGGAATTAGGTAAACAGTTTTATTTGTTACACTATACATCTATAACTATGTAGGTACGCAAAAATACCTTAAAAAAAGCATGAACTTAAAACCTATTTTTATAAATATATATTAAATTAATATCATATAGTTAATTGATGCATAAATAATGTTTGCAATGATTTAAGCAGCGTGACAAATTAAAAAACGTAATTCTAAGCCACATCCACCCAATAAGCAGTGTGTTGTGTTTAACATACTGGACCACCACCTTATGAGATTTGCGTAATGGTTCATGCTACATAAAGTTTCAGATGACAAAAGATGTAAGTAATCCAACTCTCAGTGAACTGTACTTGTAAAGTTCTACAGTAAGTTCGGCAGATATGACAGTTTTATGCTGTGATCTTACCATCTTTAATCATGTGAATAAAGAACTGCCAAACCAGAATCGATCGTCCCAGTTCATAATTCTGTATGTTACATTTCAGATCGATCGTGATTTAGTTTTATAGAAATTACATTTTTTGTAAATTAGGTATATTCAAAGTAAATATGATACTGATGTCAACCGTTTTATTAAACATTGAGATATTTAGAATTAATTAAACTTAATTGATCGAGAGATTACATGAAATGCGTGGTTTTAACGATTCTCATCAGTATAGCATGTCTTTTGAAACTATTTCTTTTATCTTTCATATCGGTGCGAAACGTGTCGATTACACTCACATATTTTAAAGAAGAATAAAAAAAAAACAGTTCCAAAAAAACAAATCAAGTTTCATTCGAGTGTATGTAGTATAACCGAGCAGCTATTTCAGGTATTTATTTTACGCGGTCCGATGAGCGGACCGCGAGTGAAACGGCCACTCAGGCTGGGCGCGTACCTGGTCCTGCTGGTAGGCGGGCGGGTACTGCTGGTAGGTGGAGTAGTCCGCGGAGGAGGACTTGGACAGCGCGGCCGAGGAGAGCGCGCCGGTGAGCGCGGGCGCCTGCGCCCCGCCGCCCGCGCCCGCGCCGCGCCCGTACATCTCGCCGCCCTCCGACAGCGGCACGTACGAACCTGCGCACGCACTCGCTGTAGCCACGGCCCACTGCCACTCGCTACTCGCTAACACTACCCTATTCGCCGTTGCGATTAAGTAGTACTAAAACGTGGATATCGCTATCTTTTCTGCATAAATATTATAAGAACGATATCATGAACGGACTATCCGCATTGTTTCCATAGAGAAAAGAAGAACTGTGTTTAAATCGGCCGTGATCTATAACGTATCGTACTAGTTTCGAATCGATCAGAACGTAAGGCGAACGCCATACTCGCTACGTGAATTCTTCATTTTTCATTTCAAATTTTGGAATGGGGCGTCGGTGACGGTCAATATGAGATTTCGCCTACTTTCCTAGTTGGATCGCATGTGAAACGGAGGTAGTCTAATAAACTCACCGGAGCCGGTAGAGTTGGAGTTCTGAGGCATATTCCAGTTGGTCCAGCTACCGCCAGCCGACGCGCCCGCCGGCGCCGAGCTGTAGTTAGCTGTACACACACATAGCGTACTCGTCAGTCCATGAGTTTACTTAGCGTGACGGTAACATTGCTTACAGTGTATTTCAAGTTACTTTTAATATTAATATCTAATATATTACATACATTGACCAATATGTCAATTGTAACATATGGGATGTATGATGTGTGATTAAAAACAGAACCCCATCTCTTCCAGTGGGTGTCTTCTCAGTAACCATAAGACAGAAAACCACCAACTTAAGAAAAAAAATGTTTCTAATGCCGAAATACTTTAATTGAAATAGCCATTATTGTTCGTTATTATTTTTTTGATCTATTGGAATCCTTAAGAAATGATCGGTCGCCCAGATTGTTTTACCAATAACAAGATCGATAATATAAACATGCTCATCATAAGTTTTAAGTTTTCAAAATTATATTGTTAAGAAGAACACATGCCATATTATTTTTGTGTATAATCACCCATTTTTTAACAATGAAGACGAAAACTTTACAAAAAACATCTAAATCCTGTAATTAACATGTTTATCTTCTAAATCTTATAATAATATGCTTCTAAATCAGCAATCGACCACAGTGGCAGACGTAATTTGATCCGAGCGAGAAAAATTTAGATTTTGTAATCAGAGCCTTAATAATAATAAATGTTTTTTGTTAGCATATTGATGTCTTAATGTGATTAATTTGTGTAATAATTTGTATTTTTTGCGCATACGCAGCTCTTAAACGCTATTTGGTGTAAAAAAAGAGGTCACTCAAAATTCGTACTAGAACAGATCGCTGACAAATTATGACGAACTTTAATGACAAAGTGTTTCTAAAGAGTTTTCATTAAAGGTCATCATCAATGTAATAGTAGGATGTCCTATACGGTTTCTGTTTTAGTTTAATCCTTCAATTTTGGAACGATATTTAATGCTACAAAACTAATGACAAATATTACAATTTCCTTAACTATAGAAGAAAACGTAGAAAACGATGATGGGTGGTTAGTTGTGTTTCGTATGAACTACGAACTAGTTATAAGTAGTAAGTGTGTACGCACCGTAGCTGCCGTAGCCCTGCGCGGGCGGCTGCGTGTGCTGCGTGTAGTTGTTGGTGGCGGGCCAGGCCGGCGCGTGCGGCGGGGCCTGCGGCGCGGGGGGCGCGCCCCAGCCCTGGTAGTTGCCCGGGCCCGCGCCCGCGCCTGCCGCGCCGTACCCGGCGTACGACGTCTGTCCGGGGGACGTGCCCCAGCCCTGGTACCTGCGGGCACACTACATCTTACGACCGCATTCTAAATCGTTACTTTTCATCGTTACCGCTAACTCAACTCGAGTAAATTCCTTGTTAACTATTAACATAATATGTTTTACCATTGATATTTGTTCATTCGTGAACATGATTTTTTATTTTCAAGACACATTTGGAATTATCTATTCTAGATTGAGTAAAATAACAAGAAAAAGTAAAATATTCAATTTCAAATATTCAATAAAATATACATAAGACTCATAATATAAAATCCTTGACCACGATTAATAATATAAATTAATGGGTGCCAGGTGTTTGTCTCAATAGATAAATTGGCTTACCCTTGCATGATGTTAGGGCCGGCCATGGGCATGTTGATGGGCGGGCCGCCCATCTGGCCGTTGTGGCCCTGGATCATGTTGATGGGCGCGGCGGCGGGCGGCCCCCACTGGCCGGCCTGCGGCGCGTCGCCGGGCGCGCTGAGGGCGCCGCCGCCCATGCCGCCTGCACCCGAGCCCAGCTTGCCGGACCCGTCACGGGGCTCCGCACGCTTAATCTCCACCTACGCATTAGTTTAACAACATTATAATATATACACGCTTGCAAATCACAGTTAGTTAAACTTCTAGAATCACAATGGAGAAGGTGAAATCACTTTAGCCATTGTCACAGAGGATTCAAATTTATCAAAAACTGCACTAATTAGTGCAGTAATATGGAAAGCTGTTGTAAATCTTGTAGACTCTCCCGCTCATAGGAACATAGAGTATATGCTAATTTACGTTTATGTCCCACAAACATCTGAACGTACCGACAGCATTTAAAGCGAAGGGCACTGCCTGGATGTGGACACTTTCAATTACACATTGCCATTAAATAATCGTGAAACGAAAGAATATGATACAAAAAATGTTTACCTGTTTTCCATTAAGATTAATGAAATGCTCCTGGGTGACTCTCTCAACAGAAATCTCGTCCTCGAACGACAGGAAGCCAAATCCTAAAAAAAATATTTGTTTATGAATATTAAATTGAAATGACCGCTATAACAAGTCGTTTTAACATAAACCCTTATTGACATTGCAAGAGTATCATTATCTCGAGAACTATTGCTTTGAAAATATCGTTCGAAAAATCGCATTATTAATTATTACAAATAACTCTGTGCCCATACGTGCATCTATATAAAAAGATAACGCAGATTACTATTTCTAGATACGTAAAATAAAAATGAAGAGTTCTTTATTCAAAATTTCCTCCATCCAATTCATGCCTGATAAGACATTATCTCATCCTTCGGCCAATTGGTCGTTAACCATTTATCGAGCCGTCTTCTGAATCTTTGTCATTTATCGAGGCTGATTGCAAAGAGCTCGTTGACTAACGTCCAATTGCACAACGTCTACTATCTCACATATTGAACACAAAACTATGCATCCACTTTTCTTCAATTTATACTCGTGCGCATCTGACGCTTGTTCCAGAAACAAAATGGCGCACTGTCAAATCTTTATAGTACAAACAGCATTGATGCGCCATCTGTTTTATAAAAAATCGCATTTCACATTTGTGTATATTGTAAAGTTGTATCTATCTATCTAATCTAATACCTTTAAACAAGCAATTCTTGTATATCTCAATCTCGGAAACGGCTTCAACTATTTTCATGAAATTTAGTGTGCAGGGGGTTTTGGGGGCGATTAATCGATTTAGCTAGGATTTTTTGAAAACTTAAAAAAAAATACCGAGCAAAGCACGGTCATCCAGGTACTTACTAGCAATTTACAAAGATTTGCAATAAAACAAAACTTGCCTTCTTGTTACGATAATAGTTTTTATCACTACATTTTAAAGTGCCTCAAAAGAGACTATCTATACGAACAGAGTAAGGCTGAAGTTTTCTTTTTTTGGTAGAATGCGATAATCTCTGGAATTACTTAACAAAGGTATCCAGTCGATTTAATACGGGTGATGTACTACGGAGAAAGTACAATAATATAAATAAGCCAGAACGAAAATCCACTAAGTTTTCAGACATCATTGAAGGACACTAATTTAAAACAAATATCCAAATATATAACTACAATATTTACTTTTCACACAATAATTACAAAGCTAATTCCTTTTTATTTAGGATTTATATCTTAATAAAGGACGAACTAATGAGGGTTTTTACCCCAACCCTCTATACATAGACCGGTCCGACAGATTAAACAAGTCGTAAATTGTATTGTGAAGTCGAAGGGTGACACCTTTCACCGAGCGAGGTCGTATCATTTTGATTGCAATACTCTTGTTACCAACTGGAAAGTGTTGTCCATCTTGTGTAATAAACATTGAAAGAGTGAAAATCATAGTATCTTCAAGTATAAGAGTAATGTTAAATATACACATTTTATGTACAACACACCCATGCACAACTAAAAGTACGAGTTCAAGGCAGATTGCAAACCGCAAGCTGTTGCTGCTCTCTATAATTTTTGTGAAAACCTTCCTATTCCGAGCAGGGCGACATCCGATAGGGTAGAGTCGAACCAAGTGAAACAGTAGCAGCCACGTGTTTTGTGTATACGATAATACTTTCTAAACTGTTTCTCTCTTCCTATATTGTGATTTTGAATATATACAGCATAACTTTCTTCTTTGATATGGCTTTTAAATGAAGTAACAGTTTCCTTTCTTGTACTTTTAACATTATATTTTTTACATAGCAACAACTTATCGACGAAATCTTCGAACAAGACGTCATAAAAAAACTTTCAGTACTGAAGCCTTCTACAGCATCACAAAGGTTTTTTAGAATAGAAACGGTCTCAACCGCAGGCAACAGGTAAATACGATCGACTGCAACTTCAGGCCGCTATGCCACCTGGATGTGTCACATTTTTTTACATAGTTTTCGATAGTTAGTTCATATCATATTCGCAAAAAAGTGACCTATCGATTTCTCCAAGAAACTATATAGAAATCATGAAAATCGAAATCTGTTTAAGAAACTAAGCCCACACACAAAGACAAAAATAGACACTCTAAAATATCTCCAACGTTATCACTAGTAAATGCATCGCTCCTTTGTCGCCTAATAATTCCAATGAGCGCTAACTGTATAACTCAGTTCTTTCTCAATAACTGTCTACTAAGAAACAGTTAAACGTATCTTATCTTGTAGCAAACCTTGTAGACTCAATTGCTCATGGGAACAAAGAGTATATGCTAATTTGCATGTCAATGATGTACCACGAACGCTTGAACGCACCGGTAGTAGATACCACTAACGGCGCTGCCTGGATGTGGAACATTTCCGACATTTACTTCGTAAATGGTTAGGAATAGCTACATTTTTTCTTACACTTATTGAACCTGTTAATTTCCGTTCACATTCCACGCATGACACTAAAGCAAGGATCTGTTTTAAGCCTTAAAGAATTTGGTAAGATGTAGTTGTTTTTACGCCGTACTAGCCATACTTTCAGCTTCTACGTGATACTCGTTTTTAATTATGATACCAAGACCGTGATTACTACACAGATTTTCATTTTATTATTATACTTCCTCCTTGCTCTTGCGTTATCATATTACCAACATAATAAATTTAAAAGATTTTTAATTTTATTTACCTCTCGACTTCTTCTTTTCTTGGTCGTACATGATGACCACTTCCATGACCTTGCCGTAACGTCCGAAGAACACGCGCAAGTCAGTCTCGGTGACGTTGGACGGCAGACCACCGAGGAAAACCTTGGGGTATCCGCCACCGCGCTTCGGTTTTTGCAGCGTGCGAGGGTTGCACGGCTTCGGATCAATAGTCCTGGTAAAAGAAAATTAAGGTCATTGCCCTATTTTTTGAGTTGCGTGTTGAAATAAGTTCATAAATAATTTATCAAATGTTTAATAAGACTTAATATGTCGCCTAAGTGATTGTCATCTGCAATGATTGACTTTGAGTCAGTTCTACTCGCGTCATGACCATAACAGATAACGTAATTTAAAAGTCGGGCGTTCAGTGTTTCATGGGTTCGATTCCCGCTCAAGTCGAACATTTGTGTGCATGAACATTTAATGTTTGCTTTGGTCTGGGTGTTTTTATGTATAATAAGTATGTATTTAAAATATATATTCGTTTAAAATATATATATTTTACCACAACATTTGTGTGAATGTGGTAAAATTTGATTAGTTTATTAATATTAGTGTTACTAATAAAACGTACAAAAATGTAACGACTGAACACGGGTAGAGCTAAGTTGCTAGATGCAGTGTTTTAAAAATTAGATAATTAAAAGGTTTAATGTTAAAAACAAGTTGCTAAATTATTATTTTTTAATAATATTATTTTACTAAAGTAACCATGACTCATTGGTCAACGTATTATCTACAATAATGGGTTCATTTTGTAAACATATTATATAATATTCTACAGAATATTAAAACCTAATAATAAACTAATTGGTAACGCGTTTGCCTCTGAATGATTAGATAAAAAAAATATAACTACACAGTACTTACATATACTCAAACTAAGTGTGTACATAGTTTGGTTTTGTTAGAATTATCATTTGGGTTGATATAATTCATTACAATGTTGGCTATTACCAGTGACGGAAAGCATAATCTCCTATGATAAATCATATGATTATTAATCATTTATTCAGCCCTGTGACCAATTTACAAAACCACGGCGACTCATGATTACGCTTGCGCCAGAATCGCGAAAAGGTCTAAATTTAAATAAGATTCTTAAGTTGTGATAGCATTCATCTTTGTCTATTCATTTCCATTACTAGTTAATACTCTTCGGTTGATTGTGCATTCATTTCAATGTGTGAGATTAGTAGTGATAGAGCACACACATTACGTTTACATTTTTTTTATATATTGATTTTTAATGACAATAACAATAATGATTGCGTTCCACATATTACTACTTCTTACACTTATACATTTAAGACAACTGCTTTTATGAACAAATATTTTCAATTATTTTTTTACATACAAAAATACAGAGACGATGGCCACGCCCTAATCTTTGATGTATGAAAGTCCCTTTCGTGCTACCTGTTATTTGAAATATGATAAAAAAAAAACAACCGTCATTTTCCACGGCTCCTGGAAGTAATTTTAGATAAAGAAAATGATAAACTAATCAATCAGAGATCGGTTATCGCTGAATAAAATAAATTCTTATTGTAATGGTAGCCCTGGTTGTGTTATAGAAAATACAGGTAATTAAAAGTTTAACGAACATTGTGAAATTAAAGAACGACCAATAAAAAAGCAATTTAGAAAGATTTAATTCTTCTCGTGCCAACTTAGTTATAATAAATATCACATTGTAATTTTCAAGCTACTGGAAATTAACTGGCTCTAACAAAACCTGTGTTCGCCAAACAGAGCATTATATATACAACAGGTCACTGTCCGGAATATGTGTACCTATTCAAGTTTGGGCTGTTTTAAAGTTGAGTATTTTTAATATTTTTTAATAATTTACAAACGCTTTGCATAGGTTAATGTAAAACAAAAGTCCGTTTTCAGTGTGTTTCAGCCAACGATAATAAATCATGGAAAAAGAAACATACAAGAGAAATTGTTTTATCAGACAGCCTGACCAGAAAGGTAGTGATTAAAATCCTGTATTTATAGGCCGATCATTGATCCCTCTCGCTTGAATAATTCATACGTATTACATAAATACAAATCTTTTACACGTTTTATGTTTTAGAAATAAAATTAATCTGTTATATACATACAAATCCATTCTTTTTTCTTTTTAAAAAAACAACGCCCGCACTAGCAATATAAATCTGTGTCGCGGGGGACTTGACAAACATGGAACGAACACAAAGAAGACCCAGAACAACAATTTGTGGATCACACAAAGTGTTGTCTTATGTGGGGATCGAACCCACAACACTGTGCAGGAGGAAGCGGCAAGGTGACCGCCTAAACCACTACGCCATCCGCGCAGTCAATTATTTAAGCTAAATATAAGATTTAATCTTATCTAATGATAACAAATAAATCTGCTTATTTGATGAACATAAATGTGACATACACAGAAAAGACTTTTCGTATTTAAACTTTTTGCAGTCTTTATAAAAGAAAATGTAAGTAATAAAAGACAAAATTCATTGAGGGTTCAAATTATGCGATGATACAAAATGACAAAATGAACGCACTAAACTATAAATTTACTAATAATACGAAGAATAATAGTTTGGTTTTGTTTTATTGAACTAACCTAAATGATTGTTCTAATGATGAAACAAAGAAGCAAATGACAAGTTAAGCTCAGACAATAAAGTAATGTTTAAATTTTATGCGTCATTAAGGAACTTTTCGCACAATTACGTGCCTGTATTCGAAGTATGAAATCTTAAAACATCATGGATGAAACGTAACTTATTTCCTGCCATAGACGCCATCTTAATTTAGAGGAAATTAAATTGTAAATTATTTTATCCTTTTTATTCACTTCAAAGTAATTTCACGCACTACACGGATGCAACTTTTAATCAGTGTTAATAAGTGCAAAAAAAACCTTGTTGCAAGCCTTGTAGACTCTTCAGCTTATAGAAGCTAAGAGTATATGCTAACTTGCGTTTATGTTCCACAAACATCTGAACGTACCGTAAGCATTTTGAGCTAAGGGCACTGCCTGGATGTGGACTATACTTTATTTAATCTAAACGAACTAAACTACTATACGCAGACAATTTGCCTACTGTACACTTGTTCATTTCAAATATACAATACATTAAACCCCCCCCCCCCCCCCCCGTTTTAATGTATTGTATGGGGGGCTAGGATTGTAGAAAAACATTTTTTTTAGGTCAAACCTTTTCAACATATTTACACGAAATTAAAGTAGACAGCTAGGTTTTTTTAATATAACAAGATTTTGATTTTATTTTTTGAAAATATATTTTGCGACAAGAACAACCACTATATCTGCAATATCAGGCTTGTTATTTCCATAACAAGGATTAGGCCACGATAATCATTCGTAGAAAACTTATCTTTGGAAGTATTTGTCTTCAGATTACATATTTTGTTAAATTATGTCCGTAACAGCAAAGTTATGGGTATATAGAGATTCAACAGGTAGCAGAAATAGATATCTTATTACGAAACACTGAAAGGCCAAGGTTGCCAAAATGTTTCAGTAACTAACTTACTCATACGCAAACTGAACATAATTATGTTCTCATTATAAAAATATAAAGAAACATGTAATTAATATTATATTATTATTGAAACGCTGAGCTTTCAAGTAATACCAGATTTTAAAGGAAGTCGTTCCCGCATACTGCTTAAGCTAAAATTTTGGAATGGAATGGACACTCAAAGCTATTATTCTTAGATTTGAGTTATTAAGGACTTGAAACGAAATTTCATCTATGAGTCACCATGGGTAGGCACTTCACCAGGGCTACAAATTAATTGGTATGTGGGTAATAGAACTGACTAAAAACAACATAAATGGGACTATTAAAAGGTACTTGGGTACAAGCTAGAAAGGAAAACCTCTAGAACTTTGTGATCTTTTATAAAAAAAGGTTACCAAACGATAGTTTTTTTTTCAAAACGAAAAAATCAAATTATTTACAATTACATTAGTTTTTTTTTTTCAAATAATTCGTTATTTTTCATAGGGCTATCGATTAAACCAAAAGACAGTTAAACTTGACTACTATTTATTTGTCCACCACAATATATGAAATTAATTAACGCAAATTTTTTCGTAACAATATGACATGTATCCTAAAAAACAAGTCACAGTACATGCATTCCACAAACTGAAACGTGTCTTACGCAAAAACATTGTAACAATTGTATTCACGCAGACACTCTATGTAACAAAAACTTCTGCAACCAATTGTCGCAATCCATACAAGTATCTTGTGACTAGTATTAATAATTTTCATTAGAGATATTAAACTTTGAGTGACGATATTTTTAGAGATTTCATCAACAAAATAGTATGATAACCAAGTATTTTAAGAAGAATGTTTGGATGTATTTATAGAAATGCTTAAGTATGGTCATATATTGTGCGTGTGGTGCCGGATTAGGAGTAAGGCGTGTCACTACCCCTATTTGTCTTATGGGTATCGTAAGAGCCGACTAAGGGAGCATCTACGCAAGACAACAGCACTTGACACAAACCCTATAATACCAACCCATCTGGCCAACGTGGTATACTAGGCCAAATTTCCTTACTAAGGGGAGGCATATATCCAGCCTATTAAATATATATTTATAAAAATTGATGATGATAATAATAAAGTATACTATCAGTAATGCAGCACTTCGGAATACATATTATTCTCTAATCTAGTAGTATTAATATTTTTGCATTAAGTATTCATTTATCAATATTCCCTGTAAACTCTGAACATAAAAAATAAATGCAAATTTTAGATATTGTGACCAAAGGATTCTTACCTGCCATCAAGTTGATGGGGCCCATTCTGCAACACGACGTTGACAAGCGCTGGCTCAGCGAAGGTCACGAAGCCAAAGCCCCTAGACCGACCTGACTCGCTGTTCTTCATCACCACACAGTCGATGACATCACCGTACCGCGAGAAGTACCGCTGCAAGTTCTCCTGAGACGTCTCCCATGACAGACCACCGACGAACAGTTTTCTAGATCAAAAGGGGGCATTCAGATATTACACTGGCCTTGAGAGGATTAAAGTTTTAAACAAGTAAATGAACACAAATACATTTTATTTATGTTCCACGTGCGTATAATATTAATTTAAGACCGTTTTTTTTAACGATTTTATTTAATGATACAATATATTACAATAAATATGCATTAACTTTAGTAAAAAATGGTAAAATTAATTAGTGTTCAACATCCATGACGGCTGCTAGGTGTGTTTCAAATTCTTATACGCCAATAAATAAAAATAAAAAATGGAAGAGGTTATGCAGACTGAAGGGTAAAAACGCACAAGGAAGCAAGCTTTCTACTGCCTATCTAAAAAAATTATAGTTGCCTGCCATTGACGTCATTTTCAATGTTTCGGTACCAATATGATATGCTATGACAGATTTGATGTAATATGTATGTAGGTGTGATCCTTATCCCAATTATGTAAGGTTACGTGAATTAAAATATTTTAACCATTAACATTTAGAAACTACTGCTATTACTAACAGTTGACATGAAAATCTAAGTGCAATAAAGACAATTCATTTTTAAACACCTAACATATTTTACACAATCAAGTACTAAACAAAGAATATGTGACCTAGAAATCTAATTAATTAGATGTATATAAAATTTATGTTAATCATTTCAATCGAATAATTATTTACTATGTAAGCGTAGCTATTTGCTTTAACAGTGTTGTGTTGGCAATCTTAAAGTACTTTTTTCTTACATTACATTTAAAACAGACTGTTAATTTTCAACTCCCGTAATAGAAAAGCAGTTTTTAATATTTATCTTGCACTTTGTTAAGGTGATGCAAGTGCATTTAATCAATAGGTCAAAGAATGTTCACGAAAACAAAAGATTACTTTGAAGTGAATAATTATTTATCATATTTTATCAAGTTTTTTGTGAAAGAGTAAATATTCATCCATTTGTATTTATTGTCTCATACATATTTTTAACCCATTGAAATGTTGATATCTTCAATATCCTTTGACAATTGACATTTGACTTTTAAAAATAATTTATGAGAAGCATTTAAAAATAAAATACTATACCTATCCACATTAATTGCCAACAAAAACATCTTGAATATAGTATATATAACTAAGGGAATAACCTAAACTCTACAACTCTAAAAAATACTACAAAGAGACTATATGAGAGAAAACACTGGCTTTATACTGAAATAAAAATCTCAATAGAGAAGAAACAATTAAAAATGACTTCTAACATAATGGGTCCTAATATACCATAGTGGATCTTTTCTATTAGATTTATAATTAGGAATTCAAATACATAAACCGCATCATTAGCAAAATGAAGTGGCAATCAGAACAAAATGTCACCAACAACCTAGGAAGGGGGGGGGGATTTGTTGTTGAAGTGCTTAGGAGAGGCTTTTATTGAGCAGTAGACATCTGATGGGTGAGAATAATAATACTAGAGACTAGGTTAATACAAAACATTATACAAGTCATAGCTTTGAATAACAATTATAGTTCAACAATATGAACACTGAAGATGCAGAATGAATTTAAGACTAATTACCAAATGCTTCAGCATCGGCCAGTTGAAGTTGTTAAGTTACTAATATTAGTGTTGCTAAGTTGAATTGTACAAAACAATATTTAGTTACATCTAAATGTTGTATGTAAATACTTCCTTTTAGTATTTCTACTGCAGAAAATGGGAGGTTTATGTTTTTTTTTTTGTGTGATTTTATGTAACAAGATTAATGAATGATTAAAATGAGTAAAATACATTAATGGAAGGGGAAATAAAAGTAATGAGTAAAAAATAATGTGTCCATCTTTGAAGTTAAAATCAAACTAACACCAACAACAATTGTTCCTTTACTGTGAGCCTATTGGAGATTGTCCAGACATCATCATGAACAAAGTCCATAAAAATCAAGGTCATTGCTCTTGTTTTACTGTCTACGTATTGTTGAGGGACCTATTTATCTATTCTTATTTTCAACATTATTAGTACATTAAAATTTCTGCATCTTAACTATTATAAATGCTACTTACTTAATATAATCAGAGTAAATGAACATACCTATATTCACAGTTAACTGTTACTAAGTGAATATGTACATTCAACATATAGGATATTGTAAGTAATCTTGCTAATGATATTGATAATTTTGGTTTACTTACAGCATTTAATAATATAAAAGATATAAAATGTGACCCAAAAACCCAATTATATAGTAGCTACATAAAATTTCTTACAATAATCATAAATGATAACGACTGGATCAAGACTTCAACACTACACAATTGTTGCCACATGAATTATATTCATTATTGTTTAATGAATGGACTTGTTAAGTTTTACTTATGCAATTAACAGGTCAAGGATGACTGTTTTTACCTTATTTTAAGATACTATTGACTCCTTTAATTGTAATTTTTAACTAAAAATACTGTTAATATAATTAGAAAAATGTTCCCAGAGATATGTCAGATACTTTAACTTTTGTTTACAGAAGTTTGTATATTTTTTTTTTAACAATTACCCATAACTTAATGAGAACTTTAACAAAACTAGAGCTCACCAGGCTGTTACAGCTGTAGTCTAGCAATCTTATATTATGTTTGCTTGCAATGGACCTCCTGCCCGTATCCAGCAAATAGACAAAAACAAATAAAGCTTGTATCATTGATATACTAAAAGCTTTTGTACATTAATATGATATTTAAATAATCATAAAGAATAACTGTTCAAAAGAAAGCAGTACTTGACCTTATTAAATTCATGATCATAAAAATTACTGCCATCATAATAAAATTGCATTGAATCAAGAAATTTATATACTATAAAATGTGAACATTATGTAGCATTAGTAATGTATTCTTAAGTAACACATTTAGTTGTAAACCTGGTGTATAACATGGTGTAATGCTGGAGTTTACTGGACTGTGTGTTAACCATACATCTCCTATTATGGTTTCTACAAAATCTGGAGAATGGCATTACATTCTAGAAAGTGTCAGCAAATAACTTTAATGAAGTGGTACACTATGCTCATCAAGCACTTTTATAAGATTGGTGGAAGTATGAATTCCCTTCACTCAGTTTTATTCATGATTACTTGGTTATGAATATTTAGTCTGACAAAAGAAAATGCTTTCAACATTTGAGTGAAGTTGCAAAAACTACCACATGCATAATTCACACACTTCCGTATTAACTTAAAAGGTTCAAAGTTTCAATGCAAATGTTGTATAGTTAACAGTAAATGCATGTGTGTCGAAGTGTTTACAAAACTAGACCCAAATATTTAGAACATCATACACATAGAGAAAATAATGCAAAATGGTATTTTAACAAAATTTGACGACGTAAGTAACCATATGCAAATGAATCAGCACGTTTCGCGTCTTGTAGGTAAATGAGATCGCGCTACGCGGCACTTCGAGCATTGATCTAATAACCTCATTATTTATTCGCCATCCAAAATTTCCATATTTTCAGCGAAATATGCAAGCGTGGTAATATCCGAGCGCGAAATCACCGATAAGAGAAAGTAGCGATTAGTCACAGAAAGGTTAATATTAAATATTGCGACGTTTCCACATCAATAGTTTAGCATCTATTCCAAGAGTTATATAAACTATTTCCTTAATAAATTAAGAGCTATTAATGTAATAACAACTAGGGAACATGGGAAAGTAATAGCTGCCATGATCGTACCACGCAAGTCGTACGCCAAGGCTTGGGGTCGGTGTCCGCTAGCCGGTATAAGTAAAAGGCTAATTGAAAATTTGCAGTCCTTATAACTAATACATTTTGTGTATAATGCTAAGCATGGTCCATTTCACAACAAAAGCATGTTTGGAACATATAGGGATCGGCAAATAACGCTACCACAAAAGCCCCGCTGGCTATCCGTGAAATGCGACACACCAAGCGAACATGCCAGTTTGACCTATTATAGTTGGCACGTCGTAGACACCCTTAGGAAACACAAAAATTAGATAAAAATACACTCACCCCTTCTCATCATCGTCCATGTCTGGATTCATACGCATTACTTACTACTAATTAAAAATAATGGTTGGCACCGGTAAAGACAACCAAACCACACAAGCACAGACCCACACGAATGATTATGGCGGACCAACCATTTCCGCTTTCTCAAAAAAGTCATGGAAAGAGGAAGTAGTCAAAAGAGTACTTCATTAGTTTTTAAATTTAAACTTACAAATAGAAATTACCATATTGGATAGTATCAATTTAATTAATAAAAAAATAATATTTTAATATTTAAGAGTTATAAATTATATTTTATAACTAATTAATGTAAAATGTAAAGTATTTTTGATCATTTCAAAATGCAGATGAGACGGCAGGTGGCAGCACAAGTTCAATTGCCACACTCCAAATTTATAGATAATTTTTAAACGATTTGTTGCCATGATTCGGACACATTACAGGATACACTCCATAAATCGAGAGTAAAAAATGACTTTATAAAAAGTATTATTATATCAATTTAAAAGACATGTTATAATTTTTATGTTATTTTTGTCTATTGTTAGAACTTTATTTAACAAGGTTTTTTGGCGCCATCTATGAATCATTATACATAATAAATAACCCAACATAATTTTTAACTTTTGTGGCTTGGGCAATATGTCGTTAAATAAATTTTAATATTTATATAGATATTTTAGAAACACGGAAATTTCTTAAAAAAAATCGAATCATAATTCCACGGTAGGATATAAATCAAATATGTATACACTTAGAAAAATAAATTATTCGAAGTGTATACACATGTATACTTCTATATATTTACTTACTTCTATATATATATATTTATATTTATTCGTATATAACTTCGTCCATAGACCCCTCACGCCGTTTTTATAAACAATCACTAAATGTTTCTGATTTGCCAGCGACGTCCTTTATCGATCCAAGATTTTCGCGAAAAGTCTGCCGCGTTATTTACTTTCATTTATGAATAGTTGTAATTTTAATTCTCTTCTTTCGTTGACTAAATATATACAAGTAATAATTCGGAAATCTGACACCTCAAATTCGGAAACAGAGTTTCTTATTAAAAGCATGTTCTACTACTGTTTAGCAATTAGTAGTAGTAGAATTTAAACTTAACTGAACTGAATTTGTACCCTAATGTTTTAGGTAGGTAAGCCGACATTTGTTTAGTTACCTATGTTATGTGTAAGAGTAAGGTTATGCATAAAAATAAACCAGAATAATTTCCAAACATATTTATTACTTTCGCATTTAATAAATTTCAGTCTTGTAAAATCATTTGATGTATCGCTGATATAACAAAAAGGTCGACATATATTTAACTCAAACATACATTGCCATTAGATATTCTCATAATGAAAGTATAAATCTTAAGTTATCGTCTTTTTATCTCGGGTAATTTTCAGATCTAGAATCGAATCAAGCCGAAAAAATATTTTATAGATAGACATAGATTCAATTCAATCGATCTGGGTTCAACTTTGTCAGGCAGGCAGGAGGCGCCCAAAGTGGAAAGAGAGCAAATTACGTTTTACTTTAAAAATATATGAATGTGGGTTCTACATACATCCGTAGCGCCTATATCAGAGGAAGCGCATATACCCTACTATTTGAACACTATTTATACATTTTATTACATATCTAATAGTTTTCGTTTAAAAATCGGAATGAATAACTGGCACTGTAGTAACAGTAACAGGAATTTCCTCAAGCAGTGATGAATGTAATATGAATTTGACTTCAACCTGAAAAAAAAGTTCAGTTATCAGGTTAAATCAATAATTATAATAATAAAATAATAATAGTAACCTCTCACACGGCCGGGCCGTCTGATCCCTAGCTAGGCAAAGCCTATTATGTTTTATCACCGATCTTATAATAGATTGATACAATCTAAACCTTAATTTAGGAAACTTGGAAAATAACATTACATAATTAAAAGTTATTTAAAAACTCAAACCTGAAAAATATAGGAAATATCTATCATTGGATCACTTAATTGAAGACTAGAAGGTGTTGTTTGAGGTATTTTCATATGAATATAACAAATTTCAGCTACATCGCGAGTAAACTTTTTATGTTCCACTTTGTATATTTTTCTTGTTTCGTTGGCGTATCCTGATGATATATTATGTTTCACTTTCTGAAATATTAAAAATAATAATATTAAAACATAGTTTTAGTCTAAACATCACTTTCTTTGTGTACCTGTCAAATACTAACCTGTATTAAAGATATACTAATGTTATTGACTCTCGCTTTTTTTTCATTATTAATCGTTATTTCGAATGGAACTGTTTGTTTTGGAGCAAACGCTCGATAAGTTTTAATAGAGATAGCAAAATTTCCACTATTCCGAAATGTCTTACTGAATTCGTGAAAACAAGGTATCTGTGGATAAAATAATTAATAGTGACTTGTATTATAGTTGAAATATGAATGATTTGAATTAATAAATCACTTTTAAGAAGATAAAACCCACCAACATTTCTTCAACATGATTTAAATTTATGTTGCCTAGGACATTGAATTCCATGATTTGCCGGATTTTATAGGCTGGTTTACTTTTCAATTTTAAATAATAAACGGTTTTGGATAGTGAACTTTCAAAAGTCGAAGGTAAGTCCCTCGGTAAAGCAAAATGAAAGGGATACCGATGAATGCCAGCGGGTATTGTTTCACCTGAAAATTTTAAATAAAATTAAAATCACCACCTTAATTTCTATCATTATTAGAGCGGTGCCCAAAGTCTATTCTAGAATCATAGAACCACTAACACTTGTTAGTGTAGAATGAAGCTGCCTCAATATAGTAAATTCTGCAAGAAATCAATATAACCTACGTCAATCAGTAAATAAGGCGGCTATATATATACTTTGCATCGAATCTTTTAAGACGGGACGATAGTCAGGTGGCGAACGGTATGCATTTAGGCCATTAGTAATTATATAATTAGTTAAGAGCACCGTGCCTAGTCTAAACATTCAAGAACCTTCTTCAGTGCTTCTTTGTGCTACTGATATCATGATGCAAGTCTATGAACCATATTTCAAAACCATTTATCGTCTTACCGTGAAAATATTCCCTGAATATATCACTTATGGTCACAGATAAAACTTTTCTTTTCTCTGAGTAAATTTTAATGTAAGGAATCGTCGGTGCAGACCTAGTCCATGAAGCCTTGCATGTTCCAACGACTTTTAAATTGATTCCTGAAACATTGTAACCACTTTAGCAACTGCAAGATACTATATATTGACTGGTGTTAGCTTATTAATGCAAAAGAATATTCCAGTCTACATTAATTTGTTATTTTCCTTAAAATAAACAAAGTAAGATTTAAAGTACCAAGGGGAAACTACATATTTTTATCGTTTTCTATTTTATTAGTTATCTACTTATTAGTTGAGCTGAGCTCATTTCTTTTTATATAAAGATAAATGCCTCTATATTTAAAAAAATTATGATTATGAATAAAGTAGTATATTATAAGTAGATTGCAGTGATTAGCTGTTTAATAAATTAAAAATTTAAGGGTAAACTAGCTATTGTCAAGTGACAACCGCCGCATTTAGTGTATAAGTCATAAGTGCGGAACCGCCCTTTGAGCCCAATAATCAGGGGAAGGGGAGGAGATTTGGGCTCCGGTAGCCCAAATATCTCTCTAGAAAAGCTATGAATAAATGCGTAACACCGGTTTTCTGTGAGACCGTGGTTTCCATCCTGTCGAGCTTACCCATTTGTGCATGCAAGAACGCATGATTAAAAGGACATTGTATAACAAGTAATTATTGTCGAAACCCTAAAACATTAGGTATTGGTATCTATAATAACACAGATATTTTATTTTAAACAAAAATTTTCAAACATAACACAAAACTTTACTTTTAATCTTCTGATCTTTTTTACATTCCAACACGATTGTTCCTGTCACTATATCACCAGTATAAAAGCTACCCGTAGAATCACTGTTTAAAGTAATGGTGCAATTTGCCCATGTCATGGTATTTTATTTATTATAAACTATCTAGTACTTAAAAAAAGTATCTTTATTTTGTGTCCCACTTAAAAATAATTATTAGGCGTTACAGAAAGTATTAAATATCTTAAAAATGATTAAAGTCCGATAAAATAAAGATAACAGTGGTATCTGGAGATAATTTATGCCAAATTTTACTATTATCAAGATTAACTTCTGTCGGTTGTTTTACTTTGTTTCAGTTATGTAACATGATATAATTTGCTTATAGCTTAGAACTTTTGATAATGACTTTTAAGATTTGATTTAAATTCATTTTTATTTTCTAAAATAATATGTAGTTCAAAAGAATAATATCAAATAGAAAAAATAAATGCAGCGATATACCTACAAACATGACAATTAACGAACGAAAAGTAAATATTGGATGAAAATGACAACTGACAGTAAATGACATTCCGGGTTATTGGATATCGGAATTTTGTTCGTGGTAATTTTTTCGATCGGTGTTCGGCATGATTCGCATACTGTTCAGTCGTTACAGATAGTTATAAAATTTACATTTTCTTTATTGTTATATGTAAGAAGTGTGAATGTTTACAGTTTCCTTCATTTTATGTGTCGATTGGATATTTACACAGGTTATGTTATGCCCTTTAACACTTCAGGGTTAAAAGTGAGTTTCTTTAATTTTTATAGTTATATCACTATTTTGTTTGTTATGTTTTGGTGTAATTATAATGCATGTATAATTTAATACTATTTAGCACCTTACCTGCATGCTTAACCGTTGAATGCATATTGCGTATCGGCGTAATAAGAAACCTTTATTATTCTAGTATTTTCTTTGATATAGAAACAACATTGCACCACGGGCAGACCTTATATCGTTTTTTATATACGAGCGTTTAATTCAGGCTATAAACCAGAGATATAATATATGTAGTAAGGGACAAATTTAGTTATTAATTTTCCATAGTTCATGATCTAAGTATGTGTAGGCGTTTTAATACTAGTTTTAAACGTACTTTAAACGATTATAAACCTTGTTACAACCTTCAAAAAAGGTAGTCTTTTTTAAATTATGAACATTTAATAATAATATTTAGATTTGAAGAGGGTTTAATGGGTTACACATTATACATGAGTATGTACATATACCTCAATATATAAACTTCTTTAAAGACACATATGCAAATAGATGCCTATAATAATATTGGATACTAGCTGGTACCCGAGACTTGGTTTGCATGAAATTTGAAAAGCGCTACCTCAGTGGGTTCGATGCCCCGACCTTGCCAAATTTTAAAGGGTTTTTCTGAAAGGAAAAATAGCCTTAATAGTTATTCTTTATGCAGCTACCTGGTAGTAAAATATTATCAAAATCCGTCCAGCCATTTAGAAGATTACCCAGAACAAACAGACAGACAAACAAAAATAATTAAAACTGGTTTTTAGGCATAGGTATCATGCAAATAACTATGTGATCATGATAAAAACATTAATTTTAAAATCTAGTACCTATTACTATTGATATGACATTCTCTTGAAAAGCAAAAGAATATTTTCATATTCACATACCTACATGTCTCTAATGTACATATAGTATATAGAGAAGTGATTTGTTAGTTTTTTTTTTAAAATAAAATAAGGAGTCATGAGCGGACAACAACACTATTGGCCCCTTTTTTTCTGTGCCAAAATTCCCTCGGATATCAACCACTGGCGGGGTGTTTATGTCGGACTTGAACTGACCAAAAATTAGCCTTGGAACCAGATGTACCCTAGGAAGGAAATCCCTGGTACCCCAACTTACCTCAGGCGATCTAGGACATGTAGATAACCCGCTTCTGTGTGGGAACCCCCATGTTCCCTTTACTACTATTGCCCTATACTCAATTATTAGCTCTTAAAGACTAGTTTCTAGGGGCCTGAAAAAACTGTAACCTGGTCTCAAAACGATTTTCTTTATGAGATTTGGGTCTGAGAATTTGTAGCCGTATTATGAAACTATATGAAATGCTTCAAGTTTAATTACCATACTAAGCCAAATTTTGGAGTATCCAATGCTAACTAGTAAGAAAAAAAAAGCCTAAAGTTTATTTTCAAGGAATTTCTTATTCTGTTACGCAGCTGTTTATTTTTGGAATTTGAGTTTAGGTGTCTGGTGGTGTGCTCAGACAATCTAAGAATATTCCAAATGTAAGGTTAGGTACACATTTATTTTAAAAGTTTAATTTATTAAATAAATTGCCACTCAGTTGGTTATTACCACCTCAGAATACGGAAATATACTGATATTACCACATACAATGACTCAGTGTTTTCTTTATATATTGTTGAGCAGGAAATGGGATAGCATGTTTATTTATAGAGTATAGGACAAAAAATTTTACTTTTCCTTTGTATTAAACAAAGTTATGTAGAATAAAGGAAAGTTTACATTAAAATAATGAGCATTTACCAAGAAAGCCACTGGATATACTCATCTAAAATAATAATTTTAGCATTAAATGACTATTATTATTAAATATACTACAGTGTTAAGGAATACTTAGAAGACAAATATTTAATATAAACCTTATGCTTTTCTTTTTTAAATTCTATTTACTACAATTTAGTTAATTTGACTCATGATCTACTATTTAATTGACATAATAATTATTGTAATTTATTTTGACACAAATTTTGACCTTTTCTTTTTTTTTTTTTGTAATTTTTATATAGACGTGACTCATGAATTATGTCTAGATTATGTTTGAAATGTTTTAGTGAAATTGTAATACAAACAAAAGTATATAGAAATATTTGCATGCCACAAGGTGGAATATGAAGGAACGAAAATTACCTTTTTAACAACTTTACTATTGTACCCATATTCGCAAATAAATGTTTATTATTATTATTATTATTGATTTGTTTAAGAATATTGTTATCTGTGTTTTTAACTTTATAAAGTAAACAGCTAAACTCCAAATAAACAGCCAACACTACCAAAAGGTTTTGCCTGTTCAATTTAGCTAGCCCCCTGCCTGATGCCTACCCTTTTGTGGTAATTAGTTTCAGACCAGACAGTGAGAATGTAAATTAGTGCAAGGAGATTTTATAGAGTGAGGAAGTTAGGGTACCCGCGAGTTTCAAATGGAATATGAGACCAAGACTACAGTAATTGGAAAAGGCTGCCATCTGTAGTTGAAGAGGCTCCTAGGACAGAGAATATATGTCATATAAAATCCCTTCAGCTTAGAATAGCCTTCTCTTGTTTTGAACAATAGCATTACAGTATGTCAATAGTAAGCACAGCACACATGCACGGCTTAGTATGATTAAGGTTAAGTCTTAGATGACTATGAAGGCGTCATTTAAAAGAATTGTCTTTTAGTGCCTACTTATAGAGGCTAACCCTAGAAAAACATTCATTCTCTAGTCTTTTGGAACACTGATGTCAATGAAAAGATTGGATGTAAAATATATTATCATTTGTATCTACTAATAATTTAAAAAGGAAAGAAAAAGGCTGCTGTCTGTTCAATGGCTATGCCTGCATCTTAAACTATGTTTTTGGAACGAAGTTCTTTACAGCACGTTACACGCTCTGAGCGGATGGGAGCGAGACCGAAAAATGTGTAACAAGACTTATCTCCAACACTTCAGTTACACGCTTACACACTCCAAAGCGTCGACGCTCACATCTTATCATATTTCATATAAAAGCAAACGTTTACCAAAAAGCGATAGGAACTACGTTTCGATCGGGGGTCCATAGACCCCTCACGCTGTTTTACATTACAGCTGTTTGTTCCTATGTTTTTAATGCAATGCAGGTAAAGTTATTGTAGAGTTTATAGCATATAATTTAAATTCTGCTGAACTTAGTTTTATCTGAAGTGGTAAAATAGGACTGATAGACCTTGATCCTCAACTACTACTTTATCGTAATTTATTTTTGCTTGAGCACAAACAAAATGGTGTAAGATGCGAGATTTGGTCGGTCGCTATTTATATTACGTACTTGTTATTGTTAAATTATGTTTACCTTATTATTATTTTAAAATAAAATACTTTAGAACTTAAAAAATATATATATATATATTATATACTAAGGGGGCGTCCATTAATCACGTGAGGCGTTCAGGGCAAGGGCCGAGCCGAATCTCATCTAATCTTACTTTAGAGAGAGGGGGTCCCGGCAAATATCACGTAATGTTTTATCCGCAAAAAACAGAATAATATTGCGAGAAAACTGCGTTAAATTAAGAAAAACATGTTCCTCCACGGCAATATAGCCAAGTCTTATACAATAATATTTATCATGGTATTGTAAGTGCCGTGAAGTTGCACAGTAGCCCATCGTTTATTTATGCGCCACCATCAGCCTTTACTCCGCCTTAACACTAACAACACATTTAAAAAATCTCAATCCCTTAATTTCACATGAGATTTTATCAAATCAAATCTCACGGTATCCCACCAGGGGTCGTCAGAACATCGCCGAAAACCCCTCACGTAATCAATGGACGCTCCCTAAAAGATTATTTTGATCCCCAATTTAAAACAAAACGTACTAGAAGAGAATATGGGTTTAACATTTCTTAATTCTTTCGACTTTGTAGACTTAGGTATACTCTTATATCCATCACAACACGAAGTCTAAAAAAAGTACCGTTTGGACCTGACCCTTGTTCATAATATAGTGATATCGTTTTATCAAATAGGTAATTACGAAGTTTTCAAAAGTCAACTTTTATCGCAAACATCAACACTTATTGAATTTAAATTAAGTGAGTCTAAGTATATTAATTCTACTTCTTTACCATAAGATCCCACTGCTAGATAACTATACTATTAGTATTTGGTGTTATTTTTATCAGCCTTAGAAAACCGAGATAATAAAATAAATTGAAAGGTGCCAAAAATATTTTTCTTTTTGTGTTTTGGTATTTGGCTTTTGGTTGTTCGTAGCCATCTGGCGACCATCAATAGTGCACGATTGGACGGGTTTTCCTTCCTTTTTGTGACATACAAAAACCCTGAATTAAATGAGTTCTCCAAATTGAGGTTTGTAGAGTTCATGCAAATTTAGAAGATATTGGTTGGAAACAGATTACTGTCTGGACAACCACTGCTCTATAATAATAAGCAAGTAATTATCAGGCCTGAAACCCAGGGAAAACCCATTAAACCTTTATCATTTTGTACTGACAAGGTTCAGTTGCTATTTGGAGACCGCTGATATAATTATTATTTCCAATAGTTATTGTTAGACTCAGATAGCTTTATTGTTGCATAAGAATATTCATATTTTAAAAACTCAGTTAGTTTTATGCCAACTAAGACAATGCATGGCTTGCAATGTAACAATTGTATATCTAATTAATTTTGTGATTAAAAATAATTCATCAATAGCCTTTAATAGTCCACTGCTGGACATAGGACTCTTTGAAAGGTGGTCTTGACCACACTGGTCAGACGGGTTGGCATAGGGTTTGCTGGTCCTATTGAGGAAGCCGGGACGGCCAGCCGATTCGGTCGCGGCCTATAGGCCCATCGTGCTGCTGGACGAGGCGGGCAAATTGTTTGAGAGGGTTCTTTCTGCCCGCATCGTCCGGCACCTCTGCGAGGTGGGCCCCGATCTGTCGGACGCCCAATTTGGTTTTCGGGCGGGGCGTTCGACGGTCGACGCCGTGTTGCGCCTGAGGGCCGTGACCGAAGAGGCCGTGAGCTGTGGCGGCGTGCTGTTGGCGGTGTCATTGGACATCGCCAACGCATTCAATAGTCTGCCATTCAGCTGCATCAGGGAAGCACTCCACTATCATGGGGTGCCAAAGTACCTGAGGCGGCTGGTGGCAGACTATTTAGAGGAGCGTACCGTCGTGTACGAGGACCGAGAAGGTTATTTGAGGTGTCGGCCCATGTCGTGCGGTGTTCCACAGGGGTCTGTTCTTGGACCCCTCTTGTGGAACATAGGGTACGACTGGGCCCTTCGCGCCGATTTCCCCCCCGGGCTGGGTGTAATCTGTTACGCAGACGATACCCTCGTGACAGCCCGGGGGGCAAACTTCCAAGAGGCGGCGCGCCTGGCCACAGGGGGAGTCTCCCTGGTGGTCGGGCGCATTGAGGCGCTGGGCTTACGGGTGGCCCTAGATAAGACGGAGGCCCTGCTATTCCATGGGCCCCGTCGTGGTCCACCCCCTGGCGCCTCCATCGTGGTCAACTCGGTCCTCGTACCGGTTCGGGCCCAGATGAAATATCTGGGCCTGATCCTCGACGGGAGGTGGCTCTTCGACGAGCACTTCCGACAGCTTGCTCCAAAGCTGGTCGGCGCTGCGTCTGCCCTAGGGCGACTCTTGCCCAATATGGGTGGACCCAGCGTCGCGACAAGACGGCTGTACACGGGGGTTGTCCGGTCAATGGCACTGTACGGTGCACCGGTGTGGGCGGCGGCTCTGACCGCCCAGAATAGGGTACGCCTCTGGCGCCCTCAGAGGGTAATGGCGGTCAGAGCCATACGCGGTTACCGCACCGTTTCGACGGAGGTGGCATGCGCATTGGCCGGAACTCCCCCGTGGGATTTGGAGGCGGAAGTGCTCGCCGAAGTTTATCGGCGAGTGGCTGACTTCCGGGCGGAGAGCGGATTTCGCCCTCCGCCCGAGGATGTGCGCGAGTGGCGCGAAGCCGCTCGCCGAGCCACGATGGCTCGTTGGTCGTTCCGGCTGGAGACTCCACGCGCTGGCTTTGCCGCCGTGGAGGCTCTCCAGCCGGTCATCGCCGAGTGGGCAGGGCGGCAGCACGGGACCCTTTCCTTCCGGCTGACGCAGGTGCTTTCCGGGCATGGTTGCTTCGGAAAGTACCTGCACACGGTCGCTAGGAGGGAACTGAGTCCCGCCTGCCACCACTGCGACTGCAGGGAGGACTCGGCCCAGCACACGCTGGCGGTCTGCCCCGCATGGGCGGCGCAGCGCCGGGCCCTCACTGCAGTCATCGGAGTGGATCTCTCGCTACCGGCCGTAGTACGCTCCATGGCCGGTAGCGACAGTTGTTTTACCGCGGTCGCAACCTTCTGCGAGGTAGTAATCTCGCGGAAGGAGGCGGCGGAGAGGGCCCGGGAGGACGACCTCCACTCGGACCCGATCCGCCGCCGGCTAACCGGGCGGCGGAGGCCCGGCTATCACAGCCTCATGCCGCCCTGAGTGTGGCCGCGGGTGGACGGGGTGGGTTTCCCCTCCACCCGCATTAGTTGGCCAGCCGCGAGGGGGCGGCGTCCGCGTGTGCCGGACGTCGCCTAAAGAGAGGAACATCCACATTGAGACGGAGCCCGCACCAGGAGCGGGCTGGCGCTAGGAGGGGTCCGGATGTCTTAACAGCAGCTGTTCCCGGATCCCTCCTGTTACAGGCGCAGAGTGGCACACCGTGTGGTTTTAGTCGGTCCGAGCCCGACACACCACCCCGCCGCAAACCCCGGAGGGGTGACGGTCCGAGGGGATTTCCACACGATAAAAGGGTTTGTGTCAACTTTTCCTTCTCTTTGCAGTTCTGTTGTCTTGCGTAGTTTGCTCCCTTAGTTGGCTCTCGTTGGTTGGGAAGGGGAGGACTTAAAGGTCGGCAAAGCACTTGTGACTTTTGAGTTGCAGGTGTCTATCGGCGGCGGTAGTAGTCATTTACCATCATTTGATGAATAAAATGCTGGGGAGACCAGCATTTTATTCAGCAAGGCTGTGTGCTGTCACCTACACTGTTTCTTCTGCATATCAATGACATGTTGCACACTAGTGGCATCCATTGCTATGCAGATGATAGAACGGAAGATGGCCTTTATACCGGCTGCCCCATTATTTCTCGGGACAGCGTTATCGAGAGTCCAAACAAACATGTGTCTGAAATTGAAACTTCCTTAGTTTAGGTTTCAGATTGGAGTCGACTAAATTTAGTCCACTTTAACCCAAAAAAGACACCGCAAAGAAGATATCATTTGCCGTATCAACTCGATTTGAGAGCACCTCCCTCGTCAGCCAGTATCGGAATCCTAGGCGTCGACATATCGACCGAAGTCCAGTGGCGGGGTCACTTAGAGGGTAAGGTCAAACTGGCCTCGAAGAAGCTCGGTGTGCTGAACAGATCGAGGCAGTATTTTACTCCGGCCCACCGCCTTCAGCTCTATAAGGCGCAAGTCCGGCCGCATATGGAATACTGTTCTTGTGTCTATGCAGGGGCACATCAGTACCAGTCTCGTCTGCTGTATTTCCAGAGCTTCAAACCTTCACGAAAAGAGGCGTACTCCTACCTAAAAGGCCGGCAACGCGCTTGTGACTCTTGAGTTGCAGACGTTAATGGGCGGCGGTAGTGACTTTCCATCAGGTGACACGTCTGCTCGTCTGCCCACTCTTCCATAAAATGAAACCCGTTTGCTGAGTCTATAGCATAATATTAATTTAGATTTTTGTTAAAGCAAAGTAAAGCAAGATGCAAAGTATCGTTATCGTTTTATTTGCCATCGTAATTCTGATAACTAAGGGGAGTGGCGCAGGTATATTTGTAACATATGTTGCCACTCCCCTTAGTTATCAGAATTACGCGGGTAATGAATATAAGTTAAGATAATAAATAATAAGAATTAATAAGAAGAAAATAAGATACTAGGTGCGCCCCGCGGTTGTTGTTGTACCTTGCTTATCCTACAAGAGAATTAATAAGAAGAAAATAAGATACTAGGTGCGCCCCGCGGTTGTTGTTGTACCTTGCTTATCCTACGAGAGAATTAATAAGAAGAAAATAAGATACTAGGTGCGCCCCGCGGTTGTTGTTGTACCTTGCTTATCCTACAAGAGAATTAATAAGAAGAAAATAAGATACTAGGTGCGCCCCGCGGTTGTTGTTGTACCTTGCTTATCCTACGAGAGAATTAATAAGAAGAAAATAAGATACTAGGTGCGCCCCGCGGTTGTTGTTGTACCTTGCTTATCCTACAAGAGAATTAATAAGAAGAAAATAAGATACTAGGTGCGCCCCGCGGTTGTTGTTGTACCTTGCTTATCCTACGAGAGAATTAATAAGAAGAAAATAAGATACTAGGTGCGCCCCGCGGTTGTTGTTGTACCTTGCTTATCCTACGAGAGAATTAATAAGAAGAAAATAAGATACTAGGTGCGCCCCGCGGTTGTTGTTGTACCTTGCTTATCCTACAAGAGAATTAATAAGAAGAAAATAAGATACTAGGTGCGCCCCGCGGTTGTTGTTGTACCTTGCTTATCCTACGAGAGAATTAATAAGAAGAAAATAAGATACTAGGTGCGCCCCGCGGTTGTTGTTGTACCTTGCTTATCCTACGAGAGAATTAATAAGAAGAAAATAAGATACTAGGTGCGCCCCGCGGTTGTTGTTGTACCTTGCTTATCCTACGAGAGAATTAATAAGAAAAAAATAAGATACTAGGTGCGCCCCGCGGTTGTTGTTGTACCTTGCTTATCCTACAAGAGAATTAATAAGAAGAAAATAAGATACTAGGTGCGCCCCGCGGTTGTTGTTGTACCTTGCTTATCCTACGAGAGAATTAATAAGAAGAAAATAAGATACTAGGTGCGCCCCGCGGTTGTTGTTGTACCTTGCTTATCCTACAAGAGAATTAATAAGAAGAAAATAAGATACTAGGTGCGCCCCGCGGTTGTTGTTGTACCTTGCTTATCCTACGAGAGAATTAATAAGAAGAAAATAAGATACTAGGTGCGCCCCGCGGTTGTTGTTGTACCTTGCTTATCCTACGAGAGAATTAATAAGAAGAAAATAAGATACTAGGTGCGCCCCGCGGTTGTTGTTGTACCTTGCTTATCCTACGAGAGAATTAATAAGAAGAAAATAAGATACTAGGTGCGCCCCGCGGTTGTTGTTGTACCTTGCTTATCCTACGAGAGAATTAATAAGAAGAAAATAAGATACTAGGTGCGCCACGCGGTTGTTGTTGTACCTTGTTCATTCCACGAAAACACTACATTTTTCGGAATAAAAAGTAGACTACCTGCCCTTTTAGACTATAACTAGATACTATTCTAGAACGCTGTTGCTTTTTGTTATAGTTTTTACATATTTTTTATGTTTAAAAATATAAGCTTCCACCATTTCTCTACATGAAAACTAGTTCGAAAGATGCTCAAAAACATATGAATTATTCTTAGTTTTATTTTGTTAAGTACTAAATACAATTTCAGATAGCATTATCTTATTTACTGATAGTTAATATTCTCCTCTTTTTCAGGTGGTATAACCATGGACCCTAACATCTACGCGCTGGTGTTGGACACCTTAAACCGTGCCACGAGCCAAGACCCCGGAGTGTTGAAGCCAGCCGAGAAGAAGCTACAAGAATGGGAAGTAGAACCTGGCTTCTACTCAGTGCTCTTGGTACGTTTTTCTGAAGAATTTGTTGGAGGCTGGAGTAATATCGCTGCATCACAGAACACTAGTGTTAAGAAGTTTTTGAAGTGAAAACTTCATTAGGCGCGTTTTTTGCGATGGAAAAAAACCATTGAACTCGCGGCACTGTTACCGTTACCGACACCTCTGTATATCTATATAAATATATTGGCCCCGTTTACACGAGAGTTGAGTTTGGGTTGAAATACATTGAATATATATATGTATATATATATATATATATATGTATATGTATATATATATATGTATTTCTATATATATATATATATATATATTGTGTATATACGTACAACATAGATATATATTCATGTCGCAACTTTTCAAATTGGAAAAAAAAACCTGTCATAATCAAAAATAATTAAATTTTTAAGTTTTCATTCTGTCGGCACTCCCGGAGTGCCACTGTTTTTTTCATTGATTTTTACCGAGTGAGTGAGGTTACGGGAAGCCCAACCCTCCTGAATCCTGCAGGGAGCACCAAAAGGGCGGGAAGAGCATGAAATCCCAATCACCTGTGATAAATCATATAATCACACCTGTCACTATTTTACAAACCACTGCGGCTTATTACAAAAAAATGTAATAGCATTTATCTTTGCCTATGACCAATATTTTCCTCACATGATTATGATTTAAAAGTAGCAATGTCTCCCGCAGGAACCCAGATATTATTTGTGTGTGCGACGGTAATCCCTTACCTTAATCAGGTGACCCGTTCGTCCTCATCGTTTGCCCCCTGTAATGTTTTCTTTTGTTTTCGGTGTTCCAGAATGTACTATCAAATCACTCGATCGATGTAAACGTCCGATGGCTGGCAGTAATGTGCTTCAAGAACGGCGTCGACCGCTATTGGCGGCGGACCGCTCCTCATGCTATCAGCGAAGAGGAGAGGAACAAACTGAAGGAGGGGCTTGTTACCAGAAACATTCTGACTGAACCCGTGCCTCAGATAGCAACGCAAGTTGCGGTTTTAATATCGAAAATCGCTAGGTGAGTTCAAGAACATAGCCAATATCAGAAGTCAAATTTAAAAAAAAGTGACTAATCCCTCCTACACGTCCACTACTGTAACGCCTATACACCAGGATGACAACAGTGACCACGAAAACACTGAGATATGACACTCGGGAAGTCTCAGGAAAAGTTAAACTGTAGGTTTATATTATCGTTTGAATGTCATACGTCAGTATGAGGCAGCAGGACGTATACTTCCTTTCGTATTTATAATACTAGTGCTCGCCAATAGATCGAAATTGAACTTTAATTCATTTAAACACCGTTTAAAGTTCTTCAATAGCTACTTAGCACATCAGATAGACAACAAACAGTGAATATAAAAAACAGAGTAGAAAAATATATTCAACTGTTTTGTATTTCCCCGTTTGTATATCCCTATATGACATTTGCTAAAACACTGAGGAAAATGTAACTTTTGAAAAGAGATATCGTCTTATTACAAACATTTCAAATTTATTTGATACTAGCCTTTGTCTGCTGCTTCGCCCGCATATATGTCAGTTATCACGGTAAAGAAACAAAGTTACTCACTGATTGGTATTTTGGTATTGGTATTGGTTGTGGGCTTCGGTTTCCGCATTTAGACTCAAGAGTGGTCCTATATGCGTCGAGGATTGGTTAGCTAGGTGAGCCAACCAAGCTCCTTCCAGAAGCGCAGAAGCCTCCTGGGGCGTTCACAGGCTTCTGGGAGCGATTTTGTCTCAGTTACTCGCTGATATGCAGCTTTCCATTGGTGAAGGAATTTTTAAAATCGATTAAGTGAAAGCGTAACAAATAAACAAACTCGCTTTTAAATTTATAATATAAGTATGGATTTAAAATTTACCAACTAATACAAAATTCACTGTTACATATATCAAGTGTTTTTAAATGCCCTTGGCCGGAGCAGACTCGACGTCGTGATGGCTATTCTAGCAGAAAGTTTTTACTCAGAAAACTACATCTTCATATACATACTATAGCTTCATATTTACCAGTTTTGTATGTATATGTTAAAATTTCCTTTTAAACCTTCATAAAATAATGTTGTAAAATTCTAGTATAAATTTAATGTAGGTACAAAATTGATAAATATGTTTATTTTTATCGGACTATTAAAGTCAATATTATTTTGCCGTCATCACAGCTATGTATTTCTGTAATCGTTAATTGTAGCATTCAAACGCAATTACATTTTGCAAAGTTTTCGTATTAAATTTACGTTAAAAAAATGCTGCTTTAATTTATCTTATATATAAAATTCTCGTGTCACAATGTTCGTTCCCGTACTCCTCCGAAACGGCTTGACCGATTCTCATGAAATTTTGTGTGCACATCGGGTAGGTCTGAGAATCGGCCAACATCTATTTTTCATACCCCTAAATGGTAAGGGTGACCCATCCCTATTTTTTTTTGGTTTTGCAATACAACGTTTGCCGGGTCAGCTAGTCAAGTTATAAGAATACAGCTTATTGGTTTGCCGTATGTACTATTCTCGCCCTGAGCACAGGAAGGACTTGATGAGTCAAACTTATCACCGTCTGTAAACTAATGTGTTATACTATATCCTCACTCAACGCTATGCCAATACACGCACGTAAAATCCAACAAGCATTTTATGAAACTAAAAATAAAACTTATTTATTTATTATAGACACGCCAACAGTATACATTTACAACAGTTTTCATAATACAGTTCAATATAAAGATGGTTCTTATATGTAGACCAATTAAAGGCATGTATATAGACACACATTCAAGTGGTAAGATGTGTAAGTGGCAAGATTAGGATTAAAGTGAACGAAAATTACCAAAAATATAGTACTTAGGAATTGCACACAAGATTTCTACACCACCTAAAGGTTGGCTGGTAGAGAATGCCCAGGGCATTAAGTCCGCCGATGTACATAAGTGCATGAAGATGTAAAATAAATAAATAAATAAATAAGTTTAAACAATGAAAGTGCAATCATGTAAACGACTTCACTATCACATTCTTAAAGTGAACTTACTGACATTGCAGGCTATAGTGTGTATTATATTCTAAACGTGAGTAACAGTAATCTTTGTTATAGATAGTTCTACTCAGTTATGCGCGTGGGTTTGTAAATATACAACTTTCATTCGTGTGGCAGTGACACGAATGAAAGTTGTATATTTACAAGCCCACGCACACATAGGGCCGCGCGCACAACTGAGTTGAACTATCTATATCAATTATACTTAGTTAGTTTGAACAAACTCGATACCTAATTACGCACCATCACGACGGCGACGTAACATTAACTTGGCATTTCTTACAAATGGTCGTTTGATCGCTAAATAGACCGAGCCTGTTCTATTTCAACCACATTGTTGACGAACATACTTTTCTGCTAACGTTTCAACTAAATGTTTGTATGCTACAGAAATGTGTCCTGTACTCATTATTTAATCTACTTAACATCTTTTGTCCCACATTTAATGCAAAAAACGTATTATATATTGATAAAAAAAATGAAACCCAGACACAAAACAAACCACGAACGTGCTTATTACATGGTTATTTGATGAAGGTGAGAACCACATTGCAGTGATAGCTATGGTTTTTTTTTGTGATTTATAAGTATGTTATCATAAGGTCATCAAAAATATATAGGACTAGCTGGTACCCGCGACTTCGTTCGCGTGGAATATGAAAAGCGCTGCCTTAGTGTTTAGCCTTAGTTCGATGCCCGAACCGGGCAAATTTTTTTAGCGTTTTGTTGAGAGAAAAGATAGCCTAAGTTATTCCTTATGTAGACAGCTAGCTGGTAGTAAAATCTGACTCCGACACTGAATTTCTTTGGCGGTGATGTACCATTCGCAAAATGGTGGTATCTGATACTCATACTAATGCAGATAACTGTTTTTTCTTCAAACGGGTGTCCTCCAGTACAATTTTTTCTACTTTTTCGACGATGTCTGATGTGGTGGCCTCAACTGGCCTTCCAGAGCGGGGGTCGTCTTCAATCGACGCCCGACCATGTTTAAAAAGACCATGCCACTTATAAATCATTGATTTATAAGTGGCATGCATGCAACGGTTTGCATTTCATTTAAAATGGTCTTCTTAAAAAATTGTCTTCGTCTTCGTAAAATGGTCTAAAGCGGTCTTTCCATGCTTGGTAAGGAATTTTATCACAGAACGGTGTTCAATTTTCTCCATACTTTCAGTTTTCTTCCGGATAGACTTGTTTAGGAGGAGAATATTCGTAAACGAATGAAGCAATAGGGCTGAAACTTAATTTATATAGTAATGATGAGTCCCCAATTAGTATGACACTAAGCGAGTGCCCCTATCCCCACTCCATCCCCTCCATTCCAGGAACTTTTGGACCTCCCCTCGTAGTAACGGGTATAGGTAAAACTGGGCAAAGCCACTGCCAAAGAATCATATAAAAGTCAGTAGCAGCAACAGACGCCTATTGGTCTAAGCCGTGGGTTCGATTCTCACCCAGGACCAATATTGTGTGATAAGCACGATCATTAATGAAAAACTAGTTTTTCTATAATATGTATGTATTTAGAAATACATAAGTATGTTTATCAGCAGGCTGGTTACCATGGTACCAGATTGCCGCGTGTGAGATGCGTGAAGTTATTATTATATCATATAACATTATTATCGTTAATTTATTTAAAACACAGGTTCGACGTACCAGCCTCATGGTTAAATCTAATACCATGGCTCAGTACCTCAGTGAACGATCCAGAGCCTCTAGTCCAGCACAGGTCACTGCTGATCTTCCATCATGTGATTAAAGCGCTGGCTTCTAAAAGGCTCGTCGGTGATCGCCGTACATTCCAGGTTGGTGGATATTATTAATGTTTATACACCGGCGCCCCTTTCCCGGGTGAATATACCTACATCATTTTTAAATATCTCTAAGGTTTAGCCTACGTATGTCGTAAACATATATTTTTCGGTGAAATGGTTGAAAAAAGTTACTTTTATGTCTTCTTAAATAAAAACTTAACTAGATTTTATTATATAAATAAACTTTTCTTGAAACATTACCTAACTGATTGTGAAAACCGCATCAAAATCCGTTGCATGGATTAGGAGGAGTTGACTGAAATATAGACATACACATAAAGCGCCTTTCTTTTATAGTAATGTCACCTTAGTATTTACAACTTTATAAGTTTTTATGACGGTAGTAACGCTTGACTTTTGGGATATATGTTATTAACACTCTTATTTATCAATTGATCGGTGTACATAATAAAATTTGAAAGTTCGAAATGACAGTTTTTCTGACGTTATGAAAACATACCATGTTCTCTTCCAAAAGTCTACAGCCACTGGTAAAAATACGTTATTGGAGAACAGGTTTAGTGAATAAAATATTTTTCAGGCCCGTAATTTTTTCAGGACGTAACAAACCACATATATACCATGATTCTCAATCTTTGGCACGAGAACACAGAGAGGTTTCTACGTTTCATCCAACAGGGGGCCTCGACGGAACTCATAACTGAGAACTTGGAAAAGGCTCTGCTCTGTCTCAGGATGTTGAGGAAGCTCACTGTTTTCGGCATAAGAAAAGCACATGAAAATGAGAATGCTATGGCATTTTTGAACATCCTGTTTGACCAGGCTAAAAAGAGTTTGGAGTGTAGTGAGTATAATTCATTTGAATTAGAATTTTAGTTAGAGAGGCACGTGGGCTAAACAAAATAAATAATAATATTAAATAAATAATATTTTACCACATTCACACAACGCCATCTAGTCCCAAACTAAGCAGAGCTTGTACTATGGGTACTAGAAAACTGATATAAATACATATATACTTTTTTTTGTAAATACATACATATTATACATAGAAAAACCCAGACCAAATCAAACATTAAATGTTCATGCACACAAATGTTTGACTTGAGCGGGAATCGAACCCGCGACCTTTGGAATAGCAGTCCGTTAAACAAACCACTACGCCATTCGGTCGTCAAAAAGTATCGTAACATATAATTATTGTCCTGAATAATGATCAATTTGCCCATGTAATATGCTTTACTATATTGATACACAGAGGAGTGCTTTTAGAACGGCAAAGATATTTTTGTCTTTCTGATAATCTTTGAGAATGGATCCTCGAGATTTGCGAAATATCTGCATATATGTATAGAATTTTTAATATGCAAACAAGCTCGCGAGGGCCAATTAAAAAAAATACAAAAAACAATATAAAAGTTATTTTCAGCATACGACTTATCGAAGCGAACCGCTATGTTGTCGTATTAAATTCACAGAACATCAATATAATTTTTACTATTACTGTAAGGACTTTATAAAAACATTGATTAAAATAACTATTTAAAACTGAAATAATGAATATACCTTTTCTTAAAACCTTTGCCAGTCGACGTAACCATCCCACGTCCTCTTCGACACTAGTAATAGTTTATAGAGAACATACTCAAACACATATGTAACACGACTAAAATACTTAATTACTGTTCCAGGAAAACTTTTAAAAGGTAGAGGTATATATCCACTGGAACTGTGCGAAAAATTCATAATACATTTAACCAAAGTGGCTCTTGGTGTGTTGAGCTTCCAGCCGTTTTCCTATGTACCGTTAATACGACCGTCTCTGGAGTTCGCCCTGCACTACTGTTTTACGGAGCAAGGCATGGCGTTAGTGTACGAAAGGTTCACAATACAGTGTCTTAACATAGTAAAGGGAATACTTCAGTGCATAGAATATAAACTGCCTAAAGGAGACCTGGATTCAGTCAAAGAACCATGTAAGTATATTTTGTTGCTATTGACGGTTTTTTTTTTAATTTGCTGCTGACTGATCTGATTACCCTAGTTGTATGGATCGTATGCATTTATGTATACACATATTCACGCCTATATCCTAGGTAGACAGGTATAATTCCCCACATCATCATCAACAGGGGCATCAACATAGGCCTCTCTTTAGAAAAGCCTACTATACCACGCTGGCCAGACGAGTTTGTATAGTGTTTGTTTCAAGTTTATTTCTCTTTGCAGTGCTGAATTCCTGCGTAGTTTGCTCCTTTTGTCGGCTCTTACGGCAGTCATGGTGTGAATAGGGGTAGTGATACTCCGTATTCTTAATCCATCACCACACGGAATATTTACCTAGATTTTGACATCTATAGTTAAGTCTAACTCACGTAGTAGGATGCAAGCCCATTACTGTCAAGTCGTAAACAATAAATAACCTATTTGTATAATTATATATAATCACCTATTTCAAGCGCAGTATGGCACACCGTGCGGTTTTAGTCGGTATGAGTCCGACATACGGCCTCACCGATAGCCCCCGTAAGGTATCACCCATGAGGGTTTCCACACTAAAAAAAGGGAGTGTCAGCATTATCTCAAGCTAATCCATGTCGAATATAAACCTCCGCTGCATACCAGTATAGCCAACGTGTAAGGGAAACTATCCTTTTTGTGGACGTTTATAGACTCCATATAACACCAGGCCAGCTATGTACCTATTAGCAAGCTAATTTAAAGAACTAAAAAACCTTTGTAATCTGTATATGCATTGTCGACAGTAACTCTTCAAGCCCACCAGCTGAAGGTGGAAGTTCTTCACGAGAATATCCTGTGCCACATGTGCCGACACTTAGTCACTCATTACTTCTTGCTCAGTGCTGATGACTTGGCGCTGTGGGATGCAGAGCCTGAGAGTTTCGCTACGGACGAAGCGGGTGAATCTTGGAAATATAGTCTTAGGGTATGTATTTTGTTTGGCTTTTAATTCTTAGAATAAATTTAACAAAATTATTGACGTTCGGGGTACTAAGCTCACTGAAGAGTCGACGGGAATTATCTAGAAGGTTTTCTCTGTAAAAGTCTTATTACTGTCCGATGGTATTCTGGGGTTTTCGGAAAGAATAATCTGTTCGTACCCCCTTCAACCTTGGTCTGAAACTTAAGTATGAGTTTATTCCACATCTACTCGATGGTCACGTTGGATTCGGCTTTTTTCGATTTCGGATCTGCACCAATCGTAACGCCGAGAGCTAGTTGATGTGAAATACACTTGCACTAGGCCCTCTTGGGTATTATTCAAGTCCCGTCTATGGTTATACAGGGAATAACAAGTCTCTCCTTTCACTGCTGAAGCATTTGCCTCGCTGTGAATGTTTTGGTATTGGGAACACTAAGAGAAAAACTCGTAAGCCCATGTAGAAAGGAACAGGGGTCTGTACTAGCCAAAAAGGAAAGAAGTGTTGCCGATTCCTTTGACATTCAAATATTTTGCTGTCAAGACTCCAAAGTAAAGAATGATAATAAAAAATAAAAATTTGTGAAATATCTAAAATTAGACTTGACGTCTCTAGCCGTGCACAGAAGCTTTATTCTCGGAGCTGTTCACATTCCAACGCGAGGTGCTGACGCCGGAGCTCGTGCGGCTGTTGGCCTCGCTGCAGCAGACACAGATATCACCGGAAAACCTGCCGGCCATATTGAAGAAGGACGCGGTTTACAACGCTGTCAGAATTGCCGCTTTTGAGCTGTATGACGATGTGAGTATATCGCAACGCACTTGTGACTCTTTGAGTTACAGGCGTCCATAGGCGGCGGCAGTCACTTACCATCAGGTGACATGTCTGCTCACCTCCCCCCTATATCATTTAAAATATCATTTAAAAAAATCAACCAATTTATAAAACAAATTAGCGCCCATGGTATTTTCGGATCGATACAACCTTCAAATTTAAAAGAAAAAAAAACGTGTTTTCACCTCAAAGGCTGATAGCGTACTTGTGACTTAACTTTCAGATACCCATGAGAGGCGGCCTTCCCTTACCATTAGCTGACCCATTTGCTTGTTTGCCTCCTCTATTATAAATATATACAGTTTAGTAAAAGTAGTATATACTCCCAATGAAATAAGTAATTCAATCAAAAAAAAAGTGTATCGTAAAAATGTGTTCTACTTATTCTACTTGTGTTCTACTGTGTTGTGTATGTGTTCTACTTTCCTGCTTAAATCCCCTCGGCCACTCATCCACAGGAGGGCAGGTGGGGTTCTTATGTCGGACTCGAACCGACCAAATCCACACGCCGTCTTGCATAACAGTACCCGAAGAACCAGGTGTAACATAGAAAGGAAAAACAACTAATAGGAAAATAATTATCGTCAAGAAAAAGTCAAGAAGACAGACATATCTGAAAGTGCCTCACAATATTGTCGCGATATTTGAGAAAAATATCTCCTGCTGTTTATATAAAATTTAAAAAAACAATAGCTGTTTAATAGAAATTTTGTAGAATGTGTGCTTGCAGATCTACCAATATTGTAAAGTATTGTTAATATGCCTTTTTTTTCACCCAGGTTGACTTTGACGAGTGGTTCACGAACGTGTTAAACCAAGAATTAAAATTAAGAGATAACAACTATAGAATTATACGAAGACGAGTGTGTCAACTTATAGGTAAGCATTTTCTAGTCAAAAGTAATTGTGTAGCTCAGTGCCGTTCCACCGGTTTGACCTCTATACATTTTAGAGTTCATATTGTCACCTACAAAGAAAAAGGTTTCTGTTTTTACATGCTTTATATTAGCTTCACTTGTATGTTTGTTTGTATGTTTGTAACCGACTCCTTTGGGCGTGATTTTGAACTGACTTTAAACGGTCAGAATTCGTTCAAACTTTGTAGATATATCGAGGACCGATGACAATTCACTAATAAAAAAAATAGTTTTAAAAAACTAAAAAACACGCTTTTTATAGAAAACCAAACTAAAAAATAGAAAATAAATTTAAAAAAAAGCGTGGGGTGCTTTTTACTATTGACAACAGGCATATATTTATTTTTTTTCTATTTTTTTTTATTTTTTAAAAGCCTTTGAGTAACAGCGTTCTGTAATAAACCGTTTTGATTATACAGCTCTTTAATTGGTATTTAATTATGATCATTGCCAGGCCAATGGGCAGGCGTCCGAGCTTCACAATCACTTCGGCCAGCCATGTACGAAGCACTACTGGAGCCACTATCCAGGAAAGATGAGGACCCGGCGGTCAAACTGGCTGCTGCAGAAGCGCTTAAGAGTACCATAGATGATTTCAACTTTGACGTGGAGCAGTTCGCTCCGTACGCGCATCATGCCATCACTGCGCTTTATGAACTCCTGGTAACTAAGAATTTTTATGACAGGCAAACTTTTTATTTTGTGTTTTTACAGATTGTTTAAAATTTATTCGTAACGAGGCAAATGCCTCGTTGGTGCAGTAGGTAGCGTAAGCGATTGCTGTGCTGAGGTCTCGGGTTCGATTCCCGGGTTCAACCAAATGTTTGTCTGATCTGCAAATATTTGTTTCGGAGTTTGGGTGTTTTCTATGTATAATATGTATGTATTTACAAAAAAAGTATATAATTATTCTATCAGTCAAGTTAGCTCTCATAGGCTCTGCTTAGTTTGAAACTAGATAGCGTTTGTGTGTTAGAAGTCCGTAATATTTAATATTATTATTTCACCTATATAGTTGAAATCGAATATTCTAGCTGCACATTAGTATATTACTAAATAATAAAATATTATTATTTTATAATACATAGTTAATGCCTTTTTCTGCAAGTTTTTAGACATCATGTTTTAGACATATATCCTAACACGGTACATAGTCTATTAAAATATATTCTTGACACCCTACTTAATCTCACAAGGCTCGGTTTGTATAGCATACAGACACGCGACAGGAGACACAGAATAAACAATGTAGGATGACAGTCAAAGATAATTATTTCTCTACTTACAAAAAGCAATTAGATATCGATTACTTCTTGGTTCTTTGATTCAGTGCGGTGGTTATTTTTTTGTTATGAATAGGTGCAGTCCGAAGAGTGCGATACCAAGATGCACGTTCTGCATGTCGTGTCGTACGTGATGGAGCGATGCGGAGCCAGCGTCGCCCGAGGCGGGGGCACGGGCGCGCTGTTCACGTACCTGCCGCAGCTGTGGAGCCACGCCGCCCTCGCCGAGCACAACATGCTGCGAGCCGCCGCGCTCTCCGCGGTCGTGCACTTGCTCAAGGTACCGTCGCACGCTGGGGCCAAACCAGCCAAAACCCTTCACTTATTAACCGATTTCCAATATTTTTTTTAATGTAATCTTAAGAAGATTTATAAGAATAGTTGGGAGCCCGATTTTTAATTTAGGTGTTTAAAGATTTTAAACATAACCTTAAAAGTATAAAATATACCTTAAAATCAACGTGATTTTTATTAAAAAAATGATTTTGTAAAAAGCAGCAGGTTATTTATATTTAAAAAATCACAAAAAAGAAATGTTACTTCTTAGCGACATCGTTGCCGTATCTGCCGCAGCTGAACGGTGGTACCTACGAGTATCGCAACCATCTTCAGTTTTAACCCCTGACGCAAAAGCGATGGGGTGTTATAAGTTTGACGTGTCTATGTATGTCTGTCTCTGGCATCGAAGCTCCCGAACGGATGAACCGATTTTGATTTTGTTTTCTTTTTGGTTTGAAAGGTGAATTAGTTGATAGTGTTCTTAGCTATGTTTGAAAATCGGTCTAAGATGGCCGCTGCCACAAGATGGCGGATTATATATTTCACAAACTGGCAGATTATATATCTTTTCACAACTCCCTCAATATGGGTATCAAATGAAAGAACTTAACCTTAAACTTAAAAAAAAGGACAATACTGTACTCATACACTATAAAAATTTCAAATCCAAGATGTGTGTCGGGGGTTTTTTAAAGTTTGTAGGAATGACAAATCCTTATGGAATTTCATTTTAGATACAAAAGTTGAACTGATGACAACCAGGTCAAGGCACTATTTCTGTCGAAGGTTTGGGTATATTTCGATTACATTCGATTAAATATTTAATTTACCTACAATCAATTCTTGAAAGTAATTTCAAATTATATTTAATTTCCCTAGGCTGTGTGCGAGTGTCCACCGAATGTCAGACCATGGATTCTCAGCGTAGTGAACGAGTCCACCAAACTGACCGAGCCCGTTCACGTGTACCTGTTGGAAGACGCACTTGAACTGTGGCTCGCTATCCTGGAGACTTCTGTCGTCGCTGATGCCCCTTTGTTGGAGTTGGCCGATAACTTGTACGCTATACTAGGTAAACAACTTTTTTCTTTAGCAGTAAACTTGACAGAACTTATAAAATGGCAACCAGACCGTTGTTAAATATAGTTACATTAATAATACAATAAAAAAAAGTGTGTGTGTCATCTCTGACGCACGACTGGAGTTTACTCTTTCAGAATGCTGTGTACGTCGGCTGCACATAAATCAGCGCCATTGATGTAAATGTTAGTAAAATAATTAGAAGTCGTGTATTAATTGCCATTTATTTTGGGGTTGATTCCGTTGTAAAACAATTTTAATTTTGTAGTGGACTACTCACTAAACTGAAATAAATTGCAATCATAGAACTAATAAAAATTTCACAAAAAATATTATTACAACCACGTAAAAGGAAATAGTTGAACCGCCATCTATAAATTACATTTAGTAGTAAAAAACGTAATGAGGTCATTCGATCACCAAATTTTACTCGTCATATTTTTTTCATACCACCTGATATGAAAATCGATTTTTAAGGAGTAAACTCCAATAAATAAACATTATCACTTCTCAGAACAAACAACAGAACACCTCCGGATTGGCGTCTACATAATTCAAGCCTACACCCTTTTATGTCCTGAAGAGTTCCTATCAAATGCTGGAGGGAAGTGTATGGCGCTTTTAGGAGAGATGCTGAGTGATATGAGAACTGAAGGCGTGATAACTGTATTAAAAATGGCTGAATTATGCATCAGTGTGCAGTTCCCTGAGAGAAATCTCTATTTAGGTGTTAAAATAATATGGCCAATTCTGATCAGAACTATCCGGTACGTATTATTTACAATGATATTTTTTTTTAAGATACACAGCTGTATTATGTATACAAAACAACAGAGTGGACATACTGTTTGGAGTAGATAAGTAGAATATGGTAGCTTCTATGATTACAATTGATATATTATTATTATTTTCTCTTTAATCAGATTTGAAATATATTATTAATTATTTTTTTACTCCTGTAAGGGTACCCTCAAATTGCAATAACTTATGAATTGTTGTTGTGAAGATACAGTATTTTATACATGTATGTATTATCATTATTTGAAATCGTCATCACCTACTTCATGTCCAATTCCTAATTTGTTACAATGTTTGAGGCCGGCCTCAACTTTAGTTGAGCCGACCTCAAACATTGCAAAAGCTGAGTTCCTTTATTGCCGACTGCTTGACTGATAGAACCGTTCTTAAGAATATAATCGCTTTCAGGTGGCATAGAGTAGAATTTGGTGTTTTTATTTTGTTACAATGTTTTTTTTCAGCCGTCTTCTCGAAGGCAGCGATCTCCCTATGGTTTTCTCGGTCCAACTATCCCTCGTGTCGCGAGTGATCCTACTCGCTTCTGACTTATTCTACAAGGCGGTACAGGAATCAGCCAACGGTTTGGCCGAGTGCGACTCAGATCCAGAAACAGTACTATATAGGTTACTACTCGTATGGACGGAGAAGATGAATTTAATCACACAAGTTGAAAGGTGGAAAGTGGTTGGTGAGTTGTAAAAAAGTCCTTAATCTATATATCTTTACAAATAAATAAAATTGAAGTGTCTGTTTGTAATGTCAAAATATCAGGTTTTTTTGTTATTTGCACAATACCTGTTTAAAAACCAGTTAATGTTTTTTGTCTGTCTGTCTTTTTGTTCTTGGTAAACTTCTAAACGGCTGGACCGATTTTGATTATAGGTTACTACCAGGTAGCTGTCTATATAAGGAGTAACTTAGGCTATTTATCCTCTCAGAAAAACCCTTTAAAATTTTGCAAGGTCCGGGAATAGAACCCACTAAAGCAGCGCTTCTTAAATTCCATGCGAACGAAGTCGCGGGTACCAGCTAGAGTTAAAAAATAAATTTGAAAGTTAATATGGGCAGATATTTGGGTATTCCTTTGGAGACAGTAGATTACGGGAACCCAAAATCCTGGCCTGTGGTTACGGGCAAGGGTGGGGCGAGGGGGGGGGGGGATTTATGGGCGGCATCGCACTTGTGAATCTAGAGTAGCAGGTGTCCATGGGAGGTGTTCGTTATAACCATTACGTGACCCGCAGACGGGTCACGTAATGGTTATAACGTTCGGTCGTTTGGTCGTTTGTCCTCCCATTCCACAAAAATGAGTTTTTTAAAAAAATTATTTACTTTTCATTGATATTCCGCTCCTATTGGTCGTAGCGTTATTGTATATTCCTCGATAAATAAGCTATCTAACACTGAAATATTTTTTCAAGTTATTGACCTCCTCCTGAGATTAGCGCGTTCAACCAAACAAACTCTTCAGCTTTATAATATTAGTATAGATTAAGTAAGATGTTTTACGCTCTTAAAAGGCGATAGTTATTTTTGAAGTGAAGACTTCTTCAGGCGCGTTGGGTATTTTTGAATAACAAACAAAAGAATGTATTTTTTGAGATGGGAAAAAATCATCGAACTCGCGACACTGTTACCGTTACCGACACCTCTGTATATAAGTATCTACATATATTGGCCCCGTTTACACTAGAGTTGAGTTTGGGTTGAAATACATTGATAATACGACTATATATAATACTAGCTGAGACCCGCGGTGTTGCCCGCGTTTGTTGTTATAACCGCGAGCAACGCCGCGGGGCGAAGCTAGTCTAAAAAAAGTAGCCTAAGTTACTCCTTATGTCATCAGCTATCTGACAGTGAAAGTCCCGTTGAAATCGGTCCAGCCGTTCCAGAGATTACCCGGAACAAACAGACATACAGACAGACAGACAGACAAAAATTGTAAAAAATGTTATTTTGGCATATGTACCGTGTAAACATGTATGCATTTAGTAAAAAGCCGTTATTTTAATATTACAAACAGACACTCCATTTTTTTTTATTTGTATAGATAAACATTTATTGTGTGTACGGACAACATAGATAGATATATGTATGTTGTACGTACGTAAGTACGTACGTACTTTCTCAGGAGAGGCCTATGTCCAGCAGTGGACTATTAAAGGCTGTTAGTGGTGGTTGTGGTACGTACGTACTCATGTCGTAACTTTACGAATTCAAAAAAAAAAACAATAATCGATTACGAGTATAATCACAAAATTTTAAATTTTCAAGTTTTCACTTCTGTCGGCACTCTCGGAGTGCCACTGTTTTTTTCTTTCATAGGTTTGGGGCTAGCAGCTTTATTGACCACGCAGAACGCGACGGTGCTCCAACGATTTTCCGCCATATTATTGAACTTGACCGAAGTGTTGAATGACGTCATGAAAGCTGAGGAAAACGGATCTTATATTGAGTGAGTATTGGTTTTATAAGTCGATGAAATATTGGTTGAACAGTGGGTGCAATAGATTGCGGTGATGTATTAATAAAGTTTTTATTTTGGAGCATTTGTGTTTAGTAATTTTATGTAGTCCGTGTAGTGACGGATTAAGAATACGAATGTCACTACCCCAATTCATCCCGTGGGTGTCGTGAGAGCCGACTAAGGGCGCTAAACAACGCAGGACACCAGCACTGCAAAAAGAAGGAAAACTTGACACAAACCCTTTTTTTTTTTTTTTTTTTTAACGTGTCGAAATCCCCTCGGACCGTCACCCCTCCGGGGTTTGCGGCGGGGTGGTGTGTCGGACTCGGACCGACTAAAACCACACGGTGTGCCACTCTGCGCCTGTAACAGGAGGGATCCGGGAACAGCTGTTGTTAAGACATCCGGACCCCTCCTAGCGCCAGCCCGCTCCTGGTGCGGGCTCCGTCTCAGTATATTTTTCCTCTCTTTAGGCGACGTCCGGCACACGCGGACGCCGCCCCCTCGCGGCTGGCCAAACTAATGCGGGTGGAGGGGAAACCCACCCCGTCCACCCGCGGCCACACTCAGGGCGGTATGAGGCTGTGATAGGCGGGCCTCCGCCGCCCGGTTCGCCGGCGGCGGATCGGGTCCGAGTGGAGGTCGTCCTCCCGGGCCCTCTCCGCCGCCTCCTTCCGCGAGATTATTACCTCGCAGAAGGTTGCGACCGCGGTAAAACAACTGTCGCTACCGGCCATGGAGCGTACTACGGCCGGTAGCGAGAGATCCACTCCGATGACTGCAGTGAGGGCCCGGCGCTGCGTCGCCCATGCGGGGCAGACCGCCAGCGTGTGCTGGGCCGAGTCCTCACTGCAGTCGCAGTGGTGGCAGGCGGGACTCAGTTCCCTCCTAGCGACCGAGTGCAGGTACTTTCCGAAGCAACCGTGCCCGGAAAGCACCTGCGTCAGCCGGAAGGAAAGGGTCCCGTGCTGCCGCCCTGCCCACTCGGCGATGACCGGCTGGAGAGCCTCCACGGCGGCGAAGCCAGCGCGTGGAGTCTCCAGCCGGAACGACCAACGAGCCATCGTGGCTCGGCGAGCGGCTTCGCGCCACTCGCGCACATCCTCGGGCGGAGGGCGAAATCCGCTCTCCGCCCGGGAGTCAGCCACTCGCCGATAAACTTCGGCGAGCACTTCCGCCTCCAAATCCCACGGGGGAGTTCCGGCCAACGCGCATGCCACCTCCGTTGAAACGGTGCGGTAACCGCGTATGGCTCTGACCGCCATTACCCTCTGAGGGCGCCAGAGGCGTACCCTATTCTGGGCGGTCAGAGCCGCCGCCCACACCGGTGCACCGTACAGTGCCATTGACCGGACAACCCCCGTGTACAGCCGTCTTGTCGCGACGCTGGGTCCACCCATATTGGGCAAAAGTCGCCCTAGGGCAGACGCAGCGCCGACCAGCTTTGGAGCAAGCTGTCGGAAGTGCTCGTCGAAGAGCCACCTCCCGTCGAGGATCAGGCCCAGATATTTAATCTGGGCCCGAACCGGTATGAGGACCGAGTTGACCACGATTGAGGCGCCAGGGGGTGGACCACGACGGGGCCCATGAAATAACAGGGCCTCCGTCTTATCTAGGGCCACCCGTAAGCCCAGCGCCTCAATGCGCCCGACCACCAGGGAGACTCCCCCTGTGGCCAGGCGCGCCGCCTCTTGGAAGTTTGCCCCCCGGGCTGTCACCAGGGTATCGTCTGCGTAACAGATTACACCCAGCCCGGGGGGGAAATCGGCGCGAAGGGCCCAGTCGTACCCTATGTTCCACAAGAGGGGTCCAAGAACAGACCCCTGTGGAACACCGCACGACATGGGCCGACACCTCAAATTACCTTCTCGGTCCTCGTACACGACGGTACGCTCCTCTAAATAGTCTGCCACTAGCCGCCTCAGGTACTTTGGCACCCCATGATAGTGGAGTGCTTCCCTGATGCAGCTGAATGGCAGACTATTGAATGCGTTGGCGATGTCTAATGACACCGCCAACAGCACGCCGCCACAGCTCACGGCCTCTTCGGTCACGGCCCTCAGGCGCAACACGGCGTCGACTGTCGAACGCCCCGCCCGAAAACCAAATTGGGCGTCCGACAGATCGGGGCCCACCTCGCAGAGGTGCCGGACGATGCGGGCAGAAAGAACCCTCTCAAACAATTTGCCCGCCTCGTCCAGCAGCACGATGGGCCTATAGGCCGCGACCGAATCGGCAGGCCGTCCCGGCTTCCTCAATAGGACCAGCTTCCCGCTCTTCCAGCACTCAGGGAAGCGTCCCGACGCCAAACTAGCGTCGAACACCTCCCCGAGGCGGTCTGCCATGTGGTTGAGGGCCAGGGCCAGCACTCGGGCCGGTACCCCGTCTGGCCCAGGGGCGGTGTTCTTGGAACGGATCCGTAGAACAGCCGCCCCTACCTCCGAATCCCGGACGGGCGGAACATTATACTCCCCGTGCTCCCCGTCGTCTCCGGCCAAGGAGGCCATCGCCGGGGGAGTGTGTTCCGCTCGTTGTGGGAAAAGGCCCTCAACCACTTCTCGCAGGAAGCTGGGCTGGAGAGTCTCCGTAAGGGGGAGGCCCGACGCGCGGAGCTTTTGTCGCACCGCGCGGTAAGGGCGACCCCAGGGGTCACGATTAAGACCCTCCAGCATCTCCTGTCTCTTTTCTTCTTTGGCGCGGCTAATGGCCAGCTTCAGAGTTTTCCGCGCCTGTCGGTACTCCTCATGAAGCCGGTCCTCCCCACCGTCTCCACGGTGACGCCGCCGACTGCGCGTGTAGGACCTCCGGGCACGTGTACAGGCCGCACGAAGGTCCGCCAGCTCCTAGGACCACCAGTAGACCTCCTTCCTTGGTGGCCGACGACCTCGAATGCGGGGCATGGCCGCATCGCAGATATGCGTAATCGCATCGCGAAAGCGACCAGCCCCCACGTCGACCTCCTCGGTCGGAGCCTGAGGAGACAGCCACGAGTGAATTATGGCTGCCTCCTCTAGTAGGTCCCGGTTTAGTCTGGCAACAGCCCACCGCGGAAAGCGGGACAAACGCCGCGCCACGTGACCCCTACTGGAGTCCTGGGTCCGGGAGAGCTCAAATCGGATATACAGATGATCCGAGAGCGTCTCAACCTCTTCCAGGACACGCCAGTTCCTTACTCGTGCGGCGAGGGCAGGGGTAGCGAACGAAAGGTCCACTATCGACCCCCCCTGCTGTCGCACGCACGTGTTGGTGGAGCCTCTGCTGAGAAGACAGAGGCCCACCGAGGCCGCCCACTCCTCTACGGCCTCGCCCCTTGCGTCCGTCCTGGGGGAACCCCACGCAATGGACTTTGCGTTGAAGTCCCGACACAAACCCTATACCAACCCGTCTGGCCAGCGTGGTATAATAGGCCAAAACCTCTTTTTTAAGGAGAGGCCTGATGATGATGAATTTTATGTAATCTATAACTGAATAGTTACTGTATAGAGTGTATAGGTTAAATTTATGTTGATGTTTACAATGCCGGCTAGATAAAAGTGTTTTAGAATTAGTGATTGAAGTTATCGTGAGTGATGTTGAACGATTCTGTAATCTCCAGCGGACTACTGGCCCCGCCGGGCTCGCGGCCCGCGTCGCCGCTGGAGGGGCGAGGAGCGGCGGCTCGCTGGGGCGAGAGCGGGGGCGGCGGGGGCGGGGGCGGGGGTGGGGCGGCGGGCGAGGCGCGCGACTCGCCGCACGAGCTGCGCCGGCGCCGCCTGCTGGCCGCGCACCCCGCGCACTGCATCGACCTGCGCTTCGTCGTACAGCAACAGGTAACCTAAACATTTTTTGTTTAACTTGGAACCTCATCGGAGTTTGCGACGGAGTGTGTGGCCTGACCTCTCCCTCTTTCACTTTATTTTCCGGTGTAAACTTAAATTATAATGCGATGAAAAAATTCAAATTCGTTATTTGATATATACCTATTATATTATATATTACTTACGATAATACATAGTGCTAAAATGGATTTCCATATAGCGACATGCCCTTTCTTACCTCAAAATCGGCAAATTCAGAAAATACATACATCTAGTAGAACCACATTATCTTTGTTTTTGAATTGATAATAATTTTAAATGTACTCTCATAATTTCATTTTCCATTGCAGCTGGCGATCTTGAAGAGCCAAGTAGGAAGTGAGAATTTCGAAATTTTGCTGCAATCCACAGAACAGGAAACGTTGCAGCAAATCAGAGAGTATATACCTCTATAAACATAGATATAATATGACATTATAAATAATATTTCATTTTCAAAAAGTATATAAAAGAAGGGAGTCTTAAGAGACATCTACTGACATGTTAGGACACAAATATATGTAAAAAAAATCATAAGACTCTGTTCTAACGACATTATATTATTGTAATTATGCTTCTATCCCATCGTGTAGAACTCAAAGCAATTTGTTTATATACACATGTACATTTACAAAATTATAATTTGACGGGCCTGTTGGTCTAGTGGTTAGTGACCCTGACTGCTACACAGGAGGTCGTGGTTTCGATTCCCACCCAGGACAAATATTGTGTGATGAGCACGGTCATTTGTTCTGTGTCTGGGTGTAACTCATCTATAATATGTATCTATTTAAAAATATATAAATATGTTTATCAGCAGTCTGGTTACCATAGTACAGGATCCGCCTAGTTTGGGATCAGACGGCTGTGTGTGAAATATATATATATTATGACTTGAATATTTCTGTGAAAGCCCACGGATCAGTAGCTGGCCGGTACCACTTCTGGTACACATTTAGAACTTTTGGATGACGTTTAATGCCATTGCAAAAACCCCATTCAAATCCCAATTCACGAATTTTAAAAATAACCGTAAACGAAGTTTTGTTTCTCCTTATGATTTTAAATTAATAATTTAATTTAATTTTATATGGAATATAAAACAGTGGTACTGTTTGAACAATGTTTATACTAAGGTCGTGGTACAAATGAGTACTACCTGGTACCACTTGCTATCGCTAATGGTACAGACGAGTACTATTGGTTCGTGGGACTTGTCATCGTTTTGCTTCAATGTCGAATCACGTCGAAGGGTATACGATAAAGCAGAACTATAAGGAGGAGTAGGAGGTGGATCTATAAGGTACTAAGTCACATCAAAGTTGAATTTCCAATATCGACCTAACTGAGATTAGAACTAGAACGACAATCATTTTTGTTTTATAGTAAATTCATATATTCGTGCCTCATCGACATGGAGCAATATGATTGATTGATTATAAAATGTTGTAATATAACATTGACAATGCTTTTTTTTTTGCTAAATAAACCTTTTTTTGAAACCTTGAACAATTTGACTTTATAATTACCGCTGATACACTTGAATTTTCAGTCGTGTAATTGTTTTATATCATTTGATTCGTGGGTAGTGTGATAAACCTTAAATTCATTATTCTAAAATGCTTATATTCTTTGAAAAAGTATTAAAAGTAATTAAGTAAGCGTTTCTTCTCATTATAAATCGAACTGGAGGTTTAGTATTACACTTTGACGAATCTATAAAAGTTAAGATAGTAGTTTTTTTCTGTTAAAAAATGGTCTTACGGTATTACATAGATGCTATTTGGCAATTGTCTTTTTATTGGTTAATTATTACAAAAATCCTAACATTTGATTGAAAACTTTTTCTTTTATGAAAAACCTAATATACCGAATTTCTTTTATTAACCCTTTTCTATAATTTCAGTAATTATAAATTGTTAAAAAAAAAATACACGACAGAAAACTCATTCGATGTTTATTTTTATTTGCCTCTTTTCCATAATTGAAATAAGAATTAAGATATAAAAATAATCATAAATGTGATATACATTTTCCTACACTAAAGCTTTAAACATAGTTCTCGTAGATAAACTGATTATTCTGGACCCACAAATGATGAATGGGTCATTACTTATACTGGACCCACAAATGATGAATGGTTGATTACTTTACCTGCAAATGATGAATACCAGCGACCTATACAATATTAGTAGGTTAAGAATTGTCAATTTCCTATTCAATATTTGTGGGTCAAGAATAATTAATGTTCCATTATCCATATTTGGGTTAATTCTTTCTTTCTTTCTTTCTTTTAAAAAAGACAACTCCCGCATTAGGAATATATCCTGTGTCGCGGGGGACTTTACAAACATACATGAAACGGACACAAAGAACACCCAGACTCAGAACAACAATTTGTGGATCACACAAAGTGTCGTCCCATGTGGGGTTTGAACCCACAACACTCGGCGCAGTAGGAAGCGGCGTGTAGGATAGGATTTTGGCCCCCATATGGATAATGGACAATCCTTAACCTACAAATATCGTATACAGGTCGTTGCTATTTTCTACTCGCAGATTCATATGTTGAATAGGTCATTGTATACGTAGAAATAATAAAATAAGCAATTTAAATTTCGTTTCCTTCCTCTCATTGATTTTCAATACGATGTGTATGATTGTTGTATAAAATTAATACCTTTAATCCTAAGAATTGTAGTATTCCTATAAATTATGAGTATAACTGAGTTGTTTTAGATATAACCCTTACGTCTTCTTTCTCCAAGCCCTTTTGCCAAAATAGGTCGGCTTTAAGTCTAATTCCATTTTTAAAGCGGAGCGACTGCTATCAGCCCACAATCCAAGTACCAGGCGATATCGAGATGCTGTAGAAAGATTGTTGTTGGACTTTTTAGGGATCCAACTGAGGATTGCCACAGAACATCTGTATGGCAACCAGGACCGACGTTTTATCGTGCCCCGGACACGAAAGGGGTCTCAATGTTTTAAAAATAGATACCCATTTAACTCTTGAATTGTAACTCTTTAACAAGTGTTTAACTGCTAACAGTGACACATACGATCCATCCATCATTCATATACAGCAACTAACGTTGAACATCATGTACGCCTATCCTATTTCTGTAAACTCTAATGTTAATTTTGTATGCAGCTTAATATTTCTGTTCTATTTTCATAGCAATAAATTAAACATTTTTTTGAGAATTTAGTTTCTTTTGATGTAATATATAAAATAGAAGAATGTAAATTAGTCATGTAAGACAAAATCCAGATGCGGCTAAGGCGAATTTAACTGATTGCGGGTTCGAAACCCACCCAGAGGGCCTAGTATGAGTTTATTTCGCATCAACTCGATCGTCACGGTGACGATACCGGCGTACCGTTGCGATTGGCTGGCATTGAGCTCTTCCCAATCGCAACACCGTGACGATCGAATAGATGTGAAATAAACTCACACTAGTCCCTCAGAACTATTTGAGGGAGCTCATCAGCAATCCACAATCATTTAATCATGTGTGAGCAAGTGTGATATTTATAGACAAAACGGTACAATTGAATAACTTAAAACATTTGTCTTACTATTTAAGGGCTGCCATTTCTAAATGGTTTGTATGTGATCTAAAAACAGTGGCGTTTAAATCCTTCTAGTATTGGCCTTAAATGATTTGTCAGATTAATATTGTTAGAGTTTAGAGAGATAAATATGATAACATTTATGTTTAAATTTATACAATTATTGTCCTTTTATTTCGCTAAGCTTAAGGAAGCGTGTGTATACGAGTGTGATTATTAATAATAAAGATATTGTTTAAATAATAGATAATATTATTAACTCCTAAACTATTTTTAAACGGAAACTTGAACACGAATGTCATGTTATCAATGTATGCATGTATGTTTCTTTGGCACACTCTGATAGCCTAGTGTGAGTTCGTTTCATCATCTCGCTCTCGACAGCGAGCGCGTTCAGCGTTGCAATTGGTGATGATTTCAGTGCGGGCCAATCGTGACGCTACACGCGGTCTCCGTGACGATCCAGTTGATGTGAAATGAACTCGCACTAGGCCCTCTATAGCCTAAACGGCGGGTGTCGTTAGACTCTACTTAAGTGTGAGAGTGACACTGGGTATATGAAAATAGAAAGTTTTTATTAAAATATTTTAATGTTCGATTAAAATAACCAAAACAATGATAGCGAAAACAAATGCTTGGTAAAAACAATGACAATGTGTTCAAGGTTCGTAAGATCAACAAAAAAGTATAGTTTTTAACTAATACTCTTACTATCGAATATTTCTGAAGCTTCAGGCCGTTAATTGTGCCTATAATTAACTAACAAATTAAAAAAAACTATCTTACAATGCGGTAGTTAAGCATTTTAGCTGTTAGCGTTTTGTAACATATGTATGTAAAATGTGATGTAGATGTATCTGCATATTTTATGTAGAAATTAGTAAACATATAGGCTAACACATATTTTTTTACGCTCTAGTACCTACATTTAACTAGAATTGATTGTAAGTTATTTCAATAACAATTTATAATTATTTAAAGAGATAATGAGTAAGATTGGGTAATGTTGGTCAGTTGATAATATCGGTTAACACGCAGACATCTAAATTATGAGGTAAAATGGATAGTATTCAGAAGGAACTTATGGTCAGAAGCTGCACTTCGGCTATGTAGCCAACCTCGCTAATCTACGCCATGTGTCGAAGCTGTGCACGTAAAAATTTACATTCATCACATCTTAATTTTGACGCCCCCAACTGTTGTTTTTTTTCGTGTCAAGAAAATAATAGGTAAGTGTTAGATTTTTTTCGGGATTAATAAGATTAACAGTTAGTAAAAACAGAAGCTTTTATCTGTCCTGAATACGTGGTTTAAGTGGGTCTGGTAGGGAGTATGGTCCGCAGCAGAGCCACAATCTAATACTTAATGTACGTACAGCGATAACGGCATAAGTACATTACGTACGTTTGTAGGTACACCATTTTAAGATCTCATTCGTCGGTATTTATAATAGTAGCTCTGTGACAGAGCACGACACGGCATTTTAGAAAGATTAAACTTTGTCGTTAAATGTTTTTCCCCAATTTTATTCTTGGGATGCGATGTGTAATATTGCAAAAGGTTTTTAGGGTTTACTTATGGCTGAACACCTGCTTGATATCAACTCTGCTTGAGGCTAATTGAGACGGATTGGGTGAGAAGCTATGATAAGGGATCGTAAGTCTTTCATGGGGAATCAGGCCAGAGAGCAGAAGCCTAGGCTTGGCGACTAATACAGGAATAATAATTGAAGCAAGTTAAGAACTAAGGTAACTAAATGAAAGATAGAATCTAACGAAATCTGCAAAGCAGAAAATGCGAACTTTAGTGCTAAAAAATTGGTAATGTTATTGATACGAAA